TGTTGTTAGTTGGCCGGCAACGCATTTGTAAGCCCACTGGTATTGCGGGTGTTCATGGGCGGCGGTTATCATTTACCATCAGATGAGCCTCCTGATCGTTTGCCCATATAAAAAGAAATTAAACATATACGTGTATGCTGTTGTAACTAATGTATTAGACTAAGCAGATAATGAAGCTTTTGCAGACTGTCATCGGTGCAAAAATTTCGGACGATTGTCGGTCCAGATGAGCGACGAGGAATCGTCAATCAAAGTTAATCGTAATAAAAATATTAAAAATACTTCAACGGTCGGTAATTTTCATGTCATTGAATTATAAATATTTGATGAGCCATAATGATTAATCTTTTCCAGTAGCACGCAAAACGACTATTACACACGTTCGTGAATGACATTACTAGCAACATCGTATGATTCTTTAGCAGGTAATACAGAATAATTTGACATTGCTTATACAAAGCATGGGAAGATTATAGGTAATCATTAATTTTAAAACAGATGTTATTGTTGTTTTACTAGTGAAACATAAAAATGTTTTCAAATTATTTAATATCATTAGGATATTAGTTATTACGTATTACTTATAAATCAATTGATTTATTCTAATATAAAGCAGTGTGATAACAGAAATGCATTTAAAATTAATGCTTTAACAGAATATTTATTTTCATACAATAAAGAAGTCCTTAATCTTAGTCTGCACATACGTGCAGTAAAAAGACAGCCTTTTTTTTAATAAAAACATTGAAGTTTTTGCTTTTACTATGATTTAAGAAAACTTTCTCGCTCAATATTAATGTGCTGTGTAGAGGAGACGGCGTCGCGTCGATCGATATTTATAAATGAGTTGTGACAACAAAATGCCAACGAGCAATTGCCAAGTAGGTGGGGAAATGGTCATTCCTGTACGCGAACAGGGGCTGTCATCGGTGCACAGATAAGTTAATCTTGATGGAAAACCTGTTTAGTTAATGGATGTAGAGTCAGACGCAATGCAAGCCCCGTCCGTGCAACACTCGATCTATCACTTACCTAGAAAACTTGAGTTAAAAATTCGGTGCTACATTATACTTAACGTCAGCTTATATTTCTCTAAAGTGTGCATCGATGCTTCTTTGGTGGGCTTATAAAGTTTTCGCACTGAAATACTGTATACGTATGTTCACATACACTGAGTTTGTTGAGACAAGATTTTGTTTTCATTTCTTGTTCTTGATTTTTGTTCTTTTGTTCTAGTTTGATGTCGTCTTTGTTTTCGGTCCAATGATGTATGTTTAACTTTTTATCAGTGTCATCGCGATCAATTTCCGTGTTTTAATGGCGTCAAAAAAACGTCAGACAATTCCATTCAAATTCCTCTTAGGTATCCGCAATCTATTTAGTTAATTGCGTGGAGGTAGATTTAATTAAATTGGGGAAGGCAAATATATCCGGCTCTTTTTCGAAGCGACAGACGTACGTGGTCTGCATGATAACTTAGATACGGGACTCATGTACGCTTTTATAACATGCGATACTGAATAGACTGTAGTGGTCAACTACTAAACCTAATTCAAAATATTCAATGTAAGTGAATCCAAGATAATTGTTACAAATATGTTTAATATCTTTTCACGTCTGTCGTTTGTTTCGTTGGATGTGAAGACTTCGACGCAATGGGAGGAAAATTGAAGAATTTATATACAAATTCAAGACATTTAATTCAAAGTTAATTTAATAAAATTTAATTATAATATGTATATAAGCCGTGTACAAACATAAACCCGCTGCTTTAGAAATTTGAGAATTTTGATTTAAAAAAAAAAACGACAAGTAGTTTTGACAGTCCTCTCTTGGTTAAGCTAACACTAGCCAAAGAATTTGAACAATTTTTTTTTGAAGACATCGAAATGGTTGAAAATCTTATTGTGCAAGGTCAGACCTACATGGTACACTTCACCAAACACTTCCCAACCAAACTCTTTAAATTTTTGCAGAGCGGCCAAAGATGTGTGTGCTCTGGTGTTATAACAATGAAAACTCTTACCGTTGATCAATCCCAGCCGTTTTTTAAGAATTTCTTGCTTGAGGCTCCTCAGCTATTGGCGGTAGATATTCCGAATCGATGGTCTATACCAGCGGTAAAAGCTCGTAATGAATGTTTGAACTTATAGCAAAGCTGTACATTGAAAGATTTAGGTCGCTGGTTAAAAATTGTATTACAATTTTGATACATAAGAATCTTATATATATTTTGCGTCCATGCCGCAAAACTATACGACGATATGTCGTGATGGTACCACCGTTTCTTGCCACCGCCGTATGCCCGTGCCGCAACGATGAACGATGTCATTCCAATACCACCATAGCATAACCTTATTGAATTTTAATCCGGGTTTGGCTGCAGTCTGTGGAGCTTGACTGCCCTTCAACCTGATTTTTTCGGCCGTTGTTGTCTTAGGTGATCCATAATACTAATTTAATATGAATTACATATGATACATACTTAGTTTATAACTAACTATATATTTACTAACTAAATAATATCATTAGCTAATATGCGGGGCCACGCAGTTATTTCTGCTATTGCACAATACCAGCGAAAAATGTATTTTCTTAAGTAAAACTTACTTACTCTCTCGACTCTACTTAAGCCAAACGTCTTTTTTATATATATTACTGATAATTTCTTGTATTTATGCGATTATACATTATTTTTACGCGTTTATGATCACGGGACAGACTCGTCTGCAAAGGGCTCGAGGGGTCAGCAATTAAAAATAAAGGCGTTAAATCCGTAAAAATAGTTTCATTTATATAATAACCATAGTCATAATAAAATAATCAATTCTGTCCAATCATGATGAGTCCCGTGCTCAGAGGACCACTATCCTAAAGGTGGGCAATCTAAGTATAATTTATATAGATGTCAGTAGTTTTTTATTAACTTAAAAAAGTAACTGGATTTGAACCTATTAATTAGATTTTCAAAATACTGAGATGTTTTAAAATTTTTTTAGAAATTAAACATAAAAATATAATACTTCCACATTATCTAGCAGTAGTTTCTGCATTGCCGTACCACAGTTAATCATCATCATCATCATTTCAGCCTGTAGGCCTCCACTGCTGAACATAGGCCTCCTCTAGGGATTTCCACTTCGATCTGTTTGAAGCGGCCTGCATCCAGCGAAGTCCCGCGACTTTGGACAGGTCTTCAGTCCATCTCGCGGGTGGCCGCCCCGCAATGGTCGCACTGGTTTCCAACACGCGGTCTCCACTCGAGAACTTTGCTGCCCCATCGGCCGTCAGTTCTGCGACCTATGTGCCCTGCCCATTGCCACTTCAGTGGCCTTCGTTCTTCTGCGGATCTCCTCATTCCTGATTGGATCTCGCAGAGAAACCCCGAGCATAGCCCGCTGAGCGAGGCTGAGTCTCTTTAGGAAGCCCATAGTTAAAGACCACGTCTCGGCATCGTAGGTCATCACTGGCAGTACGCATTGGTCAAAGACCCTCGTCTTCAGACTCTGTAGTAATCTGGATGTTAGGACGCTGCGTAGCTTTCCGAACGCTGCCCAACCGAGTTGGATCCGTCGAGTAACCTCTCTCCCGAAATTGGACCTACCTAGCTGCACAACTTGTCCTAGATATACATATTCGTCAACAATTTCGAGGGCCGAGCTCTTCACAAACACTGGGGTGGCCACTACATGGGCACTGGACATGACTTTAGTTTTGTCCAGGTTCATTCTTAGACCCACCTGTTGTGAAACCCGATTGAGGCTTTCTAGCATCGTGCTGAGTTCCTCCATCGTCTCTGCCATGACCACAATGTCGTCGGCAAATCGAAGGTGAATTATACGAATACGTTCGCCATTCATGTTAATGCCGAGTCCTTCCCATTCCAGGAGTTTGAAGGCGTCTTCCATTGCATTGGTGAAAAGCTTCGGAGATATTATATCCCCTTGCCTCACACCTCTCTGCAACAGAATCGCCTCCGTGCTCTGTTCCTGTACTCGGACTACCATAGTGGCGCTATTGTATAAACAATTCAACACTTCGATATACCGATAGTCATACCTGACATCTTTGGAGGGACTGAAGCACTGCCCATGTCTTGATGTCCACAAACGCTAAGCATAGTGGCAAATTATACTCCTCGGTCTTCTGTATAATTTGCCGCAGCGTGTGGATGTGGTCTATGGTCCTATAGCCTTTCCTGAAGCCGGCTTGTTCGGGAGGCTGGAATTCATCGAACCTGCGAGCGAGACGATTCGTGATCACCCTCGAAAACAGCTTATAGACATGGCTCAAAAGTGAGTGGGTCTATAATTTATAAGTAAGGCCTTATTGCCCTTCTTAAAGAAAAGCATCTCGTTCTCCTGCCCAGTTTTGCATTAAAGTCCCCCATTACAATGCTAAAGTGTGTTTTGGAAGTATGTCTGGCCCTACTAATGTCCCAATACATCACTTCCACTTCGTCATCTGAGTGTGCTGAGGTCGGTGCGTAGACCTGTATGACCTTAAGCGAATATCTTTTTGATATTCTGAGAATCAGGTACGCTACCCTGTTCGACACACTCGTGATGGATATAATATTGTTAACAAGGGACTTGTGCATGAGGAATCCAACACCACCTTGGGACTGCTGATCGCCCTCCCGGTAGTACAGCAAGTTGCCGGACTTCAGAGTTATCGTGTCCTCTCCCTCTCTTCGGACTTCAGATAGCCCCAAAATAACCCCTGTGCAACTTACCCAATTCTTCTTCCAGCTCAGCTACCTTGTCGTCCGTTCTCAGCCTGCGCGTGTTGTAGGTTACCAGTGACAGCCTAATAAAATAATAATAATAAATATTTGTGACACATTCGTACACAACATTTTCTAGTCCCAAACTAAGCAAAGCTTGTACTATGGGTACTAGAAAACTGATAAACATACTTAAACTTACTTTTCTTTTGTAAATAAATACGTATTATACATATAGAAACACCCAGACACTAGAAAAACACCATGTTCATCACACAATATTTTTCCAGTAGTGGGGATCGAACCCTCTGGCGCAGGAGGCAGGTACACTACCCACTACGCCATTCGGGTCACGAAGCCTACGTCGTCGGTTATCCGTTTTAACATTTGCCTGTGTCGTCTGACGGGAGGAACCCACCTGGAGATTTTTAGCACCCCAGGCTCCAATGCTCGACTGACGCCCGTCAACGCCAGCGTTGCTTCTGGAGCCGCCGGGCACTCGGGGCCTCGCCAATCTTTTATCTTCCATAGAGGGGTTGGACCATAACCCACCACGCTGGTCCAGTGCGTGTTGGTGGGTCGTCAGAGTCTCGTTCGCTGTTCGGCAGGGCCACAGTCGCGCCGGGGTTCGCGGAAGATTGCGTTTTCGTGTTCCCGTCAAAGCGACAGTGCAGGTGCAACGTGGGTTTTTTAGTGGGTACCCTGTAACTCTCACATATCCCTGACGCCTACCCACAAGGCGGCGGGGGATCCATAAATGATTTTTCCCACGTAAAAAAAAAGGGTCCCGAGAGATGATGGTTGGGACCCCTTACCCCCCGTTCAGCACAGTTAAACTTCCAATAATTACATACAAATGGCGGTAGATTCAAACAAAGCCATGGTTGGGACCTCAGTTAAACTTCCAATAATTACATACAAATGGCGGTAGATTCAAACAAAGCCAATATTATATCCTGATAAATTCTTCAATTAATATATGACCTAACCTATATTTACGTATACCATATCAAAAACAGGCTCAATGCTCTTCTTCGTGCTTCTAGCTCCGGATTAGATAATACATGAATCGTTTTCGAAATATATATTTACATCATAATATTCATTTAAATTCCCCCGTTACGAGGTTTCACTTACAATTTTTAATCTTGATAATAATTAGTGCAGTTCACATTTTCTATCTAAAATATAAATAAATATTATATTTCGTTTTTAGCCTTCGTAGTATCTATGAAGTCATAGATTCTGTCGACTTTTTTTTATAAACGACCTTTGTACCCTACAAATTATATCGAAGAAGATGGTATCGTTTAATGTTGAGGTTTATCGGAAGATAACGTTTACCTACGAGTAATAGACGTATATTGATTTCTTGTTGTTACCCGATTAAATATGCCTTAATGATACTATTTTAGGGATTTTATCTTGTTTTTAAATTGCCAACGTTTCGAACCCTTTCTAGCGTTCATGGTCACTATGCAGACTGAGTTGTTTCCTAATGTCAGAGTTAATTTGGGCTACCCTCAATCATTTTATTATTTATTGTATTTCGATCGGCGTAAAAGGAGTTTATGGTATCTTGACTTCTTTTGCTAGGATTTGTCTAATGTAATCAACGTTTTATATCGGATATGTGTAATGTTAAGGTCGAAAATTGTGAATCGTGATTTTTGTGACTAATTAGTTAGAAGAAACGTGAAGTCTGCCGATTCGTAGGCGGGTCTCATGGTGGATTGTGTCTCAATCCCCTTTATAAAAAGAGGATCCTTTGCCAAGCAGCGCAATATAGGCTGTTACTTTTTATAGATCAAATTAATTTCTTTGTAGGAAGTAGTATTGGAACTTCCATATTTGATGCGAAATAAAACGTTGACGTCAGCTTAGGTAATAATGTTTATTCGAAAAAATACAGGCTCCTAAATAGGTATAAAAACAAAAGAAGAAACTTGGTGTGATTTAAAAATTCAAAAAAGAAATTAAACATTTAAGTAAACAAAGGATGAGTGACGGCCATCACTGAGTAATAATAACTTTGGTAACACCGACGCAATAGCTTCGACTGTTGCACGAATGAGCAGGCCCAGCCGGGTAAGTACCACGACCTCACAGAAGACCGGCGTGCAAGTGTTATACTTCTGCGTTTCGTTTGGTGAGTGAGTTAGCTGAGGCTCACTTTATTAAAAGGCGGCAACGAATCTGCGGCGGTTATCACTTAATATCAGGTGAACTGCCAGCTCGTTTGCTTCCTTCTCACATTGGAAAAAGAAGGTAACAATATCTGAGTGCCACCTCTTTTTACCGAAGACAAAAGATCGCTAGACGATCGTCTTAATCGTGGGCGTTGCACAAAATTGCTTTCCGAAGGCCTTGCTGTGACGTCATCGGTCGTACGATGTGGCGTGATTTTGTGTTGGTCTGGCTCAAAGGTGATAGCGGTAAATTATCGCTACTCTACTCCTCCACCGAGCTCGGTACTACGGGTGATACCGAACTGGAAAACGAATCATACGATAGCGAACTGGAAAACGTGTCATGTGGCCGCTTCAGGTCTTCTATCAAACATTTGTTCAATCGGGGGTTGACGGTGATGGAATTGTCGTAGTTTGTTCTTTCCTGATTTATAAACTGACTGACTACCGGAGTAACAGACTAACTGCTGCCCCGCGGTAGGGCTTGAGAGGGCTGCCGTGTTCATTGCATCGATGCGGCACCATTTGGCTGGCCCGGGTGTAAGATATGTCTTTTCCAGCCACGTACTGGATATTCGTACGAAATGAATTTATAAATTCTACAGCGTGTCGTTAGCATCGCGACAATAACTGAACACAAATATAGGGGATAATTTTTTAAAGTTGTATTAAACATTTAAATTCTTTAAACATCAATATTTACACAGTTATTAAATTTTCCAAAACAAAGAATTTTAGAACAACCTTACCTATATAAACGTAACGTAAAGTTTATTTGTAAAGGTCACAAAGCATATGAATGGGTTGAATGAATTTAAAAGAGACAAAACATACTGTTAAAAGGAGAGGCTTGTAATACGACGCTGTGGCGCGAGTTGTATAGGATGTTACAAATTTTGTTTCTTTTTTACTTAATTAGTTTGTTTGAAAAATATTTTTTTTATTATGGATTTTGTTTAACGTTAAATTTTTTTTATGATTATTGGCAAGTAGCGTTAGACGTGTGTTCATTTATTGTCGCGATGGTAACGACACGCTGTATATATCTGAACTGACGTGGTGAGCAAATATTCCGAGGTGTGCAAAATGCGTATGTCGAAGGCTTATGTTCCGTTAAGATGGTAAAATTTCTTGCTTCTATCGTGTGCCTGAAATGTCGAATGGCTTATTAAATTGCTAGGAATCCCCGATCGTATGGACTATATAGATTTTATGAGTATATTTACTGAGGTTATATATATTTATAGAGCTAACATTGATTTTGCTCAAAATGAGTAACGCTGCAAATAGAAGGGCAGCCTTGTGTGTTCTCTACTTAGGATAAGCTTGATTTTAAAAACTCACTTCTAAAAACCTCGAAATGAGTCAATCAGACCTACAACAGGGCTATTACCAGGTAAAACTTACACAGCAGAAAATATGCTGTATTTTCGACTAGCGAAGTACATTACCAATTAAAACGTTTACCAACGGGTCTTAAATCTTCTTTTCAACGAGAAACCAACGAAGAAGCATCTCGGCCTATACCTACATCGCCAAACCTAACGCAACCTATATATGCAACCTAACGATTCCTGCCGTCACCTATAGGCCGGAGACATGCGGTCCATAGCTCGCTAGCTCTCCGATACCCTGAATCCCTGGAGTAAAGCAATTTTTCCCAAACCACAGAGGGTGTTGGTTATTAGATCCAGAAGAGCTACCAGACGTTCGCCGATGAGTTGACTTGTCTGTTGGCAGGCTTCCTGTCTTGGCGTTAAGAAGATGAGATCCTCGTGTCATTTCACTACTGTCGCGAAAAAGCAAAAGACCAGGGACATACACTAGCCTCGGAGGAGTTGAGGGTGTGCAGGGATCACCTGCGCTCAAACGCCATTGGGGACTAGGAACAAGGGCTGGAGAACCCTAGTACCAGCCTAAGAACCGTCGAGGCACGGTGGACGGACGACATGGTACCCTTACCCACCAGGCGAAGCAGGTCCTCTCGGGACTCGATAAGTATGTTTTGAGAGGTATATGTTTCGCGTGGTGAAGAGGGAGTCCACTGCGGAATATCAACACTGTGACGTAAGTGCCGAGGAGAAGGCTTAACATGTGCTGGAAGAGGGCACAGTCAGGATGAAGCAGCGCCGAGAGTTGTGCGCTATCGTGATGCAACTTCGTGCTACCAGCCATGCCTCGCGCTATGACGGATAATGAAAGGCCGTAGAGTACTGCCTTCACAACACTGGAAGGAGGTTGCAGAGAGGTGCAGGGACCGTCTATATGTTCGCGTTTCCCCGGCTGATGCAACAGAGGTGGGGATTTTTATTGGGTACCGGTTTCTGACCGGTACTGATAAAGGGGATTTTTTCACGTAAAAAACAGGGTATCCTTTTATTCCTGTTTATTAATAACTAGCTTTTCGCCCGCGGCTTCGCTCGCGTTGAAGCCCTTAAACATCTTTCAAACCTTTACAAAACATTTTTTCCAATTAAAAAAATATAGTATGGATTAAGGTTTAATCATTATCCAAAACTTTGCACTCCGTATGTATCTTAAATGATTTACCAAAGCCGGAATATAATAATTATAGTCCAATGAGTTATCAGTAATAACAAATTGATATATTGACTGCTCTAAAAGATTGTTATCACTTTCCTGTTGGTTGTTCTCTAGTTTAGTCAACCCAATACAGTATAATTAAAAGGACTTTTTATAGAATTTGAGTTCTTTTTTATTTGTGAAGATTTATCAGTATGCAGTCCCAAGCGGAAAGTAAGTTTATTTAAGATTCTTCTAAAGCACTATATGTTTTATTACGTATAAATTACGATTAAATAACAAATTCACCCGTTTTTATTTACATGTATAAGTTTCAAAATAATTACGCCATTGGACAATCCGTTGTAGAGAAACAATTTTTACATCTCCTATTTTCTTTATTATGTGACGTTATTTTTTTATAAGTTGTGAAGATAGACAATTACTTATCGAAAGTACTTCCATAATGTTATCGTACAATCTTTCGTATGCCATAATAATAATTGCTGATATCTATAAACCTATTTATAACTTTATATGGAGAAGTGGAGATTGCTAAAATTAACGTATATATTATAATATTTAGGGTATGACAAATAATAAATTAATTTGAGAGTAAAGCAACAGCTTACATTTGTCCCACTGCTGGGTCAGCACCGAGTCAACCACGCGACCCCATTGTGTATTGACGGAGTTATTTCACCATATTTTCGAAATAATTTTGTTATAGTTTCATTGGCGCCTGGAAATTGAGATCTCAGTTTGCTCAGGTTGTAAATTAAATTGAACGGGAGCGGTTTTTTAATGTACAATATATATTGCATTAAACAGGTATAAAATATGAGCTGTGACACGTAATAAGGTTACAATGCTTAGCCGGAATTTTTCCGTACAGATTTTACATCCGTTTCCGTACATTCCGTTGTAGATTTTACATCCAGGGATTTATTCTTTCTTTTGATTAATTAATAGTACCTGGAGTAGTCTTTTTGTGGTAATTAAAAAAAAAATTAACAATAAAGAAAGCAATGATCTGGTAAAAAAATAAGTGTGTAAATGATCGTGATACGAACCGCGGCCGTCTGTTTCGGGGCCGCCCGATTACTGACCGAGCTATTATAACATTTTTTTTTTTGCGGAAATTAAACTTAATGAAATTTACCGTCACATTTGAATGATATTTTTAATTCCCTGAAAACTGGGAAAAAAGGACATTTTCTAAAAATGAAACCTAGCCTCCGAATCTACGCACATACGTAATTTCATGAAAATCGCTGGAGCCGTTTCCGAGATTTCTACGATATATATATATATATATATATATATATATACAAGAATTGGGCAAAGGCCTTCTCTATACAGAGGGTATCAGGGCATAGTCCACCACGCGGCCCCATTGCGGATTGGCGGACTTCACATATGTTCTAAAAATATTTTTTCTTATTATTATTTCGAAAATATGCAGGTTTCCTCACGATGTTTTCCTTCACCCCGGAGCACGTGATAAGTCAGCACTTAAAGTTAAGAACTTCATTGGTGCCGGTAACGGGGATCGAAGTCAGGTTGCTCGAGTATATTGAATTAAAGGCGAGCGCCCGGACACTAACCTATCACGGCTATATCTATCCTCTGTATATCTCCTCTATATATCCTCTGTATAGAGGAGACCTTTGCCCAACAGTGGGACATGTATAGGCTGTTACTTTACTTTTTTTTATACAAGAATTGCTCGTAGTTAGCTCGTCGTTAAAGGTATTAGATACGATGACGAGAGAAGTTTTTCATCTTCATTCACATGAAAGAAAATCTGCAGGTGATTTGTTTCCTATGGTATGGTAAAAAGATACATAGACAATGTTGTGAAAGGTTAACAAATTTTCAATTTCAGTTTTGGCTATATTTTCTACGATCGGCCGTCTGCCTGACGTCAACCCTCTTTGGCAAACAAAGAACCAGATCCGGAACAATTGTCTGTGAGTCACAGAAAGACTTGTCCCGTGTGGGAATCGAACCCAGGACCCTGGACGCCGAAGCCGATAGCTTAGCAACGGCGCCACTGAGTCAATAGAAATTTAAATCTAATCTAAATTTTCTAATAAATTTCCTTTTTGTGAAAGGTTCTGCACCGTCATACTCTGAAGAAACGCCGCATCCGCCAGTGGTCACATCGCAACCCATTCAAGTGGGAGTGGTGATTATAAACCAAATGGGATCGTTACCGGCTAGCGCTATATGTACAACGTGCAATAACCAGATTACAACAACAGTAAAGCGAAAACCGTCCATGAAGACGCATTTACTTGCAGTGCTTTTGTGTGGTTTCGGGTGAGTTTGTGCTCGTCATGACTACTGGTGTCTGGGAAGTTATTGTAATTGAAGCCCAAGTTACTTACCAGAGTGAGTCAAGATTTTAACTCATATAGATTGTTTCTAGGGTGCCGTACCCAAAGGGTAAAACAGGACTCTATTACCAAGACTTCGCTGTCTGTTTGTTTGTCTATCCGTCTGTCACCAGGCTATATCTTATAAACCGTGATAGTTAGTTGAAATTTTTACACTAGATGTATTTCTGTTCCCGCTATACCGACAAATACTAAAGAATAGAATAAAATAAAAAATATTTGTGGGGGTTTCCATACAATAAAGCAAGGTTGTTAGGCAACCTATAGGTACTTACCAATTAGTTTATTATAGATAATGCTAAGGAACCTTTCGTGCGCGAGTCCGACTCGCACTTGGCCGCTTTTTATATTAAAACTAGCTGCTGCCCGCGACTACGTCTGCGTAGAGAGGTGAACATTTAGGGTTGTATGTATTTTTGTATGCTGTATCATAAAAAAATAAAAACAAAAAATTTTGTCCAAAAATTAAAAAAAAATGTTAAGGGTGAACAACCCTTATCACTTAGGGGTATGAAAAATAGATAGTAGCCGATTCTCAGACCTACTGAATATACATATAAAATTTGGTAAAAATCAGTAAAGCCCTTTCGGAGGAGTAAGGTAACTAACATTGTGACACGAAAGTTTTGTATATAAGATAGTGTTTAATGTTTATAACGCAAGCCTTTTTTTATTCCTAGAATGAATGTAAACTACATTAAAAAGTTTTATTAGAACACTGAGCTCAATGTACTCTTATTTATATCTACTTATGAGTTACAATTTCTGCATCGCCAAATCGTACATACAATGCAAACACTTTCAATTTATATAATACTCAAAACTGTCTGATGGCTCCGTTGGCGTTGCTAAGTGTTCCAAGGAATAATTATTTTGTATAGTCTACAGATTCTTGTTCCTAATCTGGTTATTTGGCTATCATATATGTAAGTTTAACACTAGGGTGGGGGAAATTATTTAAAATAATTATAAAAACTTTTTATTTCATTTCAGATGTGTGCCGTGTGTCTTTATACCATACGTCGTGGGAACTTGCAACAATATCGAGCATTACTGTCCAAACTGTAACTCATATATTGGATCATACATACAATAAAATATCTATCGGCAAACTAAAATATAGTGAAGATTTGTATATAAAGTAATTTCGAATGACAAAAAACAATCAGACTACAGTATGTTCTATAACTAATATAATATGATGTTTTTGTGGAACTAGTGTGTACATAACAACCCAAGTAACACTTTATTAATATTTGTAAGTCGAGAGTAAAGACTGCATTAAAATATTGTTCTGAGAAATATTGTGAGAAGAAACGAATAAGCAAATGATTGTTGACTTAATCCAAACGTTATTTATATAATAAACTAGCTGCAACCCGCGACTACGTCGGGTGAAAGTTTAGGGTTGTATGTATTTTTGTATGCTGTATCATAAAAAAATAGAAACAAAAAAAATTATATAAAAAGTAAAAAAGAATATAGGGGTGGACCAACCTTAGCATTTAAGGTTGGTAAATATAACATAGAAGGATGAAAAATAGATAGTAGCCGATTCTCAGACCTACTAATATACATATAAAATTTGGTAAAAATCAGTAAAGCCGTTTCGGAGGAGTAAGGTAACATTGTGACACGAGAGTTTTATGTATAAGATAAGATATGTAGTTATATGTAGGTATATATTATTAATGATTCATAGCCTTATTAATTTACTCATGATATTTACTTACTATTACTTATATTATTAACAATATTGAAAAAGTGTATACTTGATTATATATGAAATTTGAAAATTGACGATTGTGAAATTCCCAGCAAGGTTTATTTCAAACGGATTATTGACTCCCTAACTTAAATAATACAGCTGATTAAATTAATTATAGTTTATGTATGAATTTATGTATAAACATTTACGTGTGTATGTATTTGTATGTATGGGTAATAAATTAAAGTTGTTACTTCCATTTACTACCCCATTGTTATATGTATTGTGTTTAATACTACTTTACTGCCCTAGTCATTCTCTTTCTGTTTTATCTAGGGTTAACTGGTAGCGAATGCAGTATAGCATTAAGAATTATACATGTTTAGTACAATAAAGATTAAATAAATAAATAGGATAGGTGACATAAGTACTACTGTTACTGTATATTTATTACATGTGTTTGTAACAAACCGTATACGAAGTACCTAATTGTAATCCTTCATAGTGATTTAGCCTTTTGCAATTATTTAATGTACGTAAATTAATATGAATTACTTATATCATACTTATATTAAGAGAATATATAAAAACACTACATACTAAGAATTCTATACCATGTTTGATTTTTACTTTCACTACTTATACACACTAAACGATGTCGCTAACTAGCATTAGCGAAAATGTGGCATGTATAGGCCCACCCGGGGTCGAACAGATCGTTGGCGTGAAGTTGAATTTTATGTATATATTATATTATATACTTTTATTTTTGTATTTATTCATAATTATTTATACCTTAGCATTTGGTTTGATGATTGTCAACGGGGCTTAATCTGCCAAAAGATTGTGAACGCATGTGCGGCATAATAATTTGTACAGATGTACTTATGTTGCTTATAAATTAAAAAACAGCAACTTAACAAGTAACTGGATTTATAGCTATTACAGAAACAAAATGCTGAGAAACGTCTTCAAAAAATTAGAGATTAAACTTATAAATAAAACACTTCCATATTATGAACCCAACGGAGCTGCCAATAAAAATATACGACTTGCAGAGGAGTTAAACCGAGCCGATATATTTTCAAAAAATCATTTAATTTAATTTTTAAATTAGTTTACAATAAACTGTAAATTTTTAGAGATAAATGAACAAAAACTTTCGGTGGAACAACTAAGGCGGGATTCGAGCCTGCATCTTCTGGTCTCTCGCCCAGACGCTTTATCAACTAAGCTAAGCGGCCGATGACCTCACGGCGCGAAAATCTTGACATCTATCTACGGTCGTTCTATAGCATTTTTATCAATGCTTGGCGCATCTAGTGTGTATTCTTAAAGCATGCAACACCTTAAAAAGAACATTCAACGATGAATATTTTTTTACGAGGTAAGTCACCATTACTCTTAAAAAATTTAAGATTAATTTTTATTACGCTTATTTTGCTTTACGCTACCAAATTAGCAAAGACGTCAAGCGTTTTCGTCAAATTCATTAACATTATATTTGTTCTCTATCATGTTTCACAAATAATTCTTATAATTTTGTACTGTCAGTTCAAATTATTATTCCAAAAGATAAATATTATAGTTCTTTCCAGCATCGGGTATCTATGAATTCGTTGAATCTATTGTCGTTTCTTTTAGAAATCAAATGATATGTAAATCCAGCACAATGGTATCATGCCACGAGGCCTATCGAAAGATAACTCTTACGTAATGAATATATTCAAATTCCCCATAGCTATTCACAATCTGTTTCTTTAATTGCGTGGAGGTAGACCTAATAAAATTGAGGTAGGCAAATATTTTCCGAAGCGACATGTGCGTGTTATACTAAAAGGCTGGTAGAAGAATGAAAAATATTTTTTGAATTGCTAAATAAATGCCGAAATTTTAAGATAACAAACAACAACGAAACAATGACAAGAATACTACTGATTTGATAAAATCCTCCTTTTCTGAAGCCGGTGGAAAATGAGGTGTTATATTAGAAGTCCCTTACTTAAAAAGCGAGAGAAGAGGAGCTATATAAAACATCGGTGCCTGCACATAGAGTATAGTTCAGAGAAAATTACTGTTCAACTTGCGCACTTCGTAATTACGCAGGCGTTGCATCGTATTGAAATAGAAACGTGGACTTACGCGCGGTGAGGGGTTCGTCTCGTCAACGGTAGCTGTGTACCCTCTATTAGTATCGTCAGTCAAGCTCCCAGCAAGCATTCGTCTGATTGGAACGTCACATCTTCATGCCCTTAGATCTTTCTGCTACTGCCAAGTTGCACTAGAGAAGCTAATTGTAAACGAAAACGATTTCGCATCTTAAAAACATAAAGGACATCTTTAGTAGTATGTTTCTCAATATGAGCAAAGGATTAGAAATAATTTGTTTTAATTCCTATACATAATGAGTTTATGGAATTTTCCTTGAGTATAGCTGACTTAATTGATATTTAACTATCTAATTATTATTTTGTAATTTAATTTTATTTTTGCAGTTTTAAAATTTGCAGGTTGGCTTGTGCTCTATACAGCATAAGCATGTGTTCTATACAGATATGTATGGACGGTTTTTTCTATTTTTTCAGACAGACCTCTCTTGTTGAATTGCAAGAGCACTTAACTCTTGCATTAAATGCTACCCAGGGTTGTAGACAGCGCATTGCTTTTTAAAACCTTGGGATAAATATGCAACTCTCAGATTTAAGAAATACAACATGTTGAATATGAAAACCTGAAAGCACAGTTGTCAAGGTATTGGATTTAGTGCCAGGGGTTGTGGGTTCGATTCCCACACAGGACAGCTATAATTGTTAGCAGATAATTGTTTCAGATCTGGGTATTTGTCTACGTGAAATTTATGTATGTAAACGTCCTTACAAACGGGATCTCACAGTACGGGCAATGTTTAAAAAAAACTTTGTTGATACAAGCCCCTGCGACTTTACCCATGTTTTCGCTGAATGCCCATCGTACCATCAAGTTTTATCACACTAATAATATGCGCATTAAATATACAAAGACTTCTTTTTTTATCTAACTTACACGAGTTGAATAATCTGTCTCTTCCGGCTAATGATGTGCATTATATCGCCAATAGGCGGCGGTAATCATTTAACATCAGTTAGAGCGCGCCAACTTTTCGCAAAAAAAAAAAAAAAAAAAAAAAAAAAAAAAACGTGAACCGTTATTTTTGTTAATCAGTGTAGATATAAAAGATCAAATTTACACATATATGTTTTGCCTTTCGTGTTTTATTATTGAACGTTTCACTGTGATAGCTTCATGGAGCAGCTTCTGCTATTCTGTGTACTCATAAGCAATACTTGCCTATGAGTACTTCAGATTAAGTCCTTTCTTCGATTCATGGCTTATGGAAATCAGTTTTTCGAAAATTTTATTAAAAACGCGACAAAACGTCGCATGACATGTACATATATGTTTTACCAAAGCCGGGATATAACATAGTCCATTGAGTTATCAGTACTAACAAGTTGATATATCGGGTGTTCGAAAGGTTTATTATCACTTTCATGTCAGTTCCCCACCAGTTTAGTTATACTAACAAAGTTAAAGTAAAAGGGTTTTTCCTATATTTTGAGAACTTTTATTAGTTGTAGATATCTATAGTTATGCAGTCCGACGAGAAAAGTAAGTTTATGTGACGTCATTTTTACTTTATTGTTTAAAAATGACTATAAAACGTGTACGCCGCTTGAAAAAAATTACGTCATGTATTTACATTTGCTAAAGAAAATCTCTCATTTTTTTTATTAATTTTATAGTTTGGGTATTATTTTGCATAAGCTGGGGCGATCGATAAGTGCACTATCATAAAATGTTACATACGCCATCATGGGTAATATTAATTAAAACACATAGAGATTCATTTATGCATGTAATAGGTATAGAACTTGAGCAGTAGTTTACCAAATGATCTTAGGGTAATAATATCTTGTGTAAATTATGCTGTCATAGTAGTTGATATTACATTTAGGAATTTATTCATATCCTCGATGATTCACACAAAACACAGGCAGACGCTTTTGCATTGTATATACAAACACGGTTGTTATATTACTATTAACAAATCACTGAAACAACTTATATACGGTTCAGAATGTCGTGGGCGTTAGTTACTAAAGGCATTAAATGATTTTTAATTCAAAAGTTACAATTTCTTGTATTAAATAATTTGATTAAATAATTCTCTCCTTCCTTTCCAGCATATAAAACAAAATACCCAGTAAGTTTATATGTTTCCCCTAACAGAGTAAATATATAAAGCAAAAAAAAAAAATAAAGTAACGGCCATGTGTGACTCACTGCTCATTTCTGTTTTTCTATAGATACTAAATCTTCAACTGTAGTGGATCTATTCATACCGTTAAAATAAACTTGATTTTTTTCTTATAATTGTACTTTTTGTGAAAGGTTCTCCACCACCATACTCTGACGACCCGCCGAATCCACCAGTGGTCACGGCACAACCCGTTCAAGTGGGAGTGGTGGTTATAAACCAAATGGGACCGTCGCCAGCTAGCGCTATTTGTAAATCGTGCAACAACCAGATTACCACAACAGTAAAGCGAAAGCCGTCTATGAAAACGCATTTATTTGCCGTACTTTTGTGCGGTTTCGGGTGAGTTTGTGCTCGTCATGACTCTGAATCGATGACTACTAGTGTCTGAGAAATTTTTGAATTAGGAAATCAAAACGTGTCTTGCGATTTGGAATCCGAGAGATGAGTCACACATTCTTTTCTATTTTTCATTAAACACGTAGTTTATGTTTTGAAAAATATTTGTACAGTACAAAAGAATTGAGCAGTGTAAATATATTTTTTTCTCTCCTGAAACCGCTAGTGATTTTTTTGCAATCGCAACTTTAAATATAAGCTATATAAAACTGTTTTATAACATTGAAAAATAATTGGTATACTCTCATTGACGTATATGGATTGTTTATGGACGCAAATATCCTGTATAATCCTACAAACTATCTGATCTCTGAGTTTCTATTGCCTTCGTCCTGCTGATTATGGGTCTGGTACAGAATAAGTTTTTTGTGCAGTCTATAAATAATTATCCCCAACTACAACGTTTGGATATCACGGAATATTCTTACAGTAGAGCGGAGATGATTATTTATAAACGTACTTAACTTATTAGCACTAACACGTGAATATTTCGTTACAGATGTTTGCCGTGTGTATTTATACCATACTGTGTGGAATCTTGCAACAATCTCGAGCATTACTGCCCCAACTGCAACTCATATGTTGGATCATACATACAATAAAGTACTCTTCACGTAAAATGCAGTAATGATCAGTTTATGGCATTATTGTGAATGAAAAAGAAAACGACGAAGTTAATGTGGAAGAAGCGTTCACAAAATTATCCCACATTACCGTTTATGAACAATTGTACATCGAAACGCTTGTATTAGGATATCATTCAACAACGAAATGAGGCCTAAGACTGTGGACTGAATCTTGACTTTTTATATGTCACAATGTTCATGACCTTAATCTTTAATGATCTTTTTATAGAATTTAAAAAAAAATTAAGTGTAAGATATATTCGATTATATACAAAATTTGAAAAGTTTGAAATTTGTTGTCATTAAAAATTGGAACATGGACTTCTCTTTTTTTCCTTATGTCAAATTTTCATAATTTAGAACTGATTAGATTGATTTGTAAAAAACAAAAACGCTAGCTTTCTAAAAATATTTACTAAGACGAAAGGAAACAATTTTAACTATGTTTAAAACTAAACCGATACTATACCTATCCCCAAAGAAATTGTTAAATATTACAGTCTGTGCCTTCGATGTATGATTGCAATATTCATTCAGTATAAAATTTTTATGTTTGATTTTTCTTTAACCTCTTTTAAAATCTGAACTATCGTTAAAGACATCTTTTACATCAATTAGCGAATATCTGATAGGATAACGGAGCTGCCGTTGCAAAAATGGATACGTGAACTGGAAGTGGATCTTTTGCGTTTAGTCTGATAAGTGAGGTAGCTGAGGCTAACTCTCGTAAAAAGTTGGCTTCTCATCTGCCAACCCACGGGTGTTGTGGAACAATATCTAACATCATATGTACATCCATATATTGTTGTATCCACAAACTTATTGATTATAGAACAAAGATTAAAGTAAGCAACTGAATTTACTGTTTTAAGATCTAGAAAATTTTCAGAAATGTATTATAAACGTCTTCACAGATTTTAATACTTCCACTGCACACCGGTATTGAATGAGTAAGACCGGTAAGGGATGAGTCTGCCACTGCTTTTAATAGAAGTTTCTGCGTGGCGTTAGCACAGGGGAAATTTAAGTAATTTTATACGAAAATCAATAGACTAAAATTAAACTAACATCATTTATTGAAGAACTCGATTGTATATGTAACTAATCTATATAGTATACATATGTATAATTTAAAGATGATCTTGTTGGCTTGGGTCTTTATTGTAGTATACCTACCTAAATTCCAGCAATTCACGAGCCTGGGACTCTTCACAGTGTTCCAGGCCGAAATGTTTAGTCAGTGACTGCGCATCATAACCTGGAGTACCAGTGGGTAAGAGGATACTTATCCTGTCGGATATTCAAACTGCGTTAAGGCACTGAAGTCCAATAAAACTACCTCCAAGCTTACCTTGGAGTGCATTATTGCCCTGAATAACCTTGGCTCACGTATCTCACTAATGATGGGCTGGGTACCAGGGCACTCGGGGATCGAAGCAGCGGATGAGCTGGCAAGGGATGGTTTGAGTTCCCGCCCGAACCCATCCTGGGGTGCCGAAATTTGACCCAAGGTGCCAGCTTACCAGGAACTGGGAAGGCAATACCTAAGAAGACGAAACTCTTAGCCCCTTATCCACCGTCAATTTACTTAGAATTGTTGATTGGAGGAAGCTATGTAGCTTCAAAAGGAATCCTACAATAGATTTTTTAAATCGCAGTGGTCTTTGGGAATTACTATCCATCCCCTTCCACACAAATTATCATCATCCTGTATAAGTTAAGTTCTTCGTTTTGGTATTTCGAACACGGACTCAATGCCCTTATTCAGCTTCAGTCTATCGATACGTAAAGACGGTCTTCAAACTTTTAAAAATAATCTTATTTTACATACTAGCGTTATTTAAAAGATAATCGATACATTTCTTGTTAAATCCTCGTAGTGTCTATAAATTCGTAGAATCTGTAGACGTATTTTTCCGAAAACATTTGTTCGTAACAGAATATTTATCTGAGCAAAGTGGTATCGTTTATCGAAGCACGGTTATCGGAAGATAACGCTTAATTGAAAAAGTTTCCTTTGTTTATAGACATTGTCAACTAAATGAAATAGAATAACGATGAAAAAAATAACAACAGCATTAACGTGAAAAGAAAAACCAGAAAAGAAAGAAAAGTCAGCTTAAGTTTTTTTTTTAACATTTTTAGATTGTATTCATCTCTTTTAATTTTATATATACTGTTACTAAGAATAAAAGTTAAAGTAAAAAGTAAAAGTATTACTCCAGTATATCAGCAGGCCCGTAGAGAGCTACCATTGAAAAACAAATATCGACCATCGATTCATAAAAATGAGTAATTGACTGGCTATAATTTTTTATCTAGGTATATTTTTATTCTAAATTTTTATCAAAACTCGTCAAAATACTGGTAAAGCCATGAAACAGCTTATACTGTCGCACGAATGGGCTCGCTCCATATTTCCTCATAAAAAGAAACACGACACATATTACAGATTTTTTTCCACCTCAGCATTTAACTTCTACAAATAAGTGTTATAATATATTTTGTTACTTTGAATTGAGCTCTGCAGTTCCCTGATGTATAGAGTAGTCCAAAGTCCGATATTAATGAAATTAATATTGAACCACATGGGAGCTTAACCGATCCCAATGAAAATTTAATTCGAAATTGGTTTATAAATGACGGAGTTCTGAGTTAACAAATAAAATATAAAGCAGCGAATTGAGAAACTCCTCCTTTTTTGGAAGTCAGTTGAAAATCATCATTGTTATCTTAAAGAAAATTGTCTTTCCATAACATATCACTTTTTGGACTTTAAGTGTCTAACTTATAAAATATATGTCGCTACATCTGGAACACCGAGTGCAATAATTATACTAGCTAAGCGCAGTCATGATTAGCTTTTTATTAGATTTAATATTAAATTAAATTAATTAAAGAGTATATAAAATTAAGTAAAAGTAAGTGAATTGAACGCGAAAATCAAAGTAATCCATCACATTTTCTTTTTCGAACACAAAAAACGACTTAGGTACTAATTGAGTTGATAATCAACCAAAAGTATCGATAAAATTCCTATATGGAAAACGTTTTTGAATAGAGCATAATATTAGAATTTCAAGTGGTATATATATATATATATATATATATATATATATATATATATATATATATATATATATATATATATATTCCACTTCATCTAAAACAGTTTATCTTCAAAGACTAAATGAAATCATCATCATTCTGCAGAGGCCTTATTATCTACTTATTTCAAACACTCATGAAAGTCCAAATCATCATATATTAATATAATGGTCATATAGATGTATAAGCCGTGATAGCTCAGTGTCCGGTCCCTCGCCTTTAATTAAATTTACTCGAGCAACACGAGTTCAATCCCTGATGCCGACACTGAAATTGAAACTGCTAATTTTAAGTGCTGACTCAAATGGGCACTTTTGACTGACGTTTTCAGCGGTGATGGAAGACATCATGAGGAAACCTTTCTATTTTCGAAATAATTACAAAAAAAAATGTGAAGTCCGCCAATCCGCAGTGGGGTCGCGTGGTGGACTATGCCCTTATACCTTTACAGAAGACTTTTCTTACACATAAAAAGAAATGTTATAACATACTTATGGCGATATACATAGTTAGGGTTGCTTTGACTATTTTCCTCAAATTTAAATTTACAGCACACGTCCCTGTTTGTTGATGACCTTTGACGTCGAATAAACTTAACAAAGTTTATTTTTAACAGTAACAACCATTTTGACCTTGGCTGGAAAAAAGTAGCTGAAAAGAAAAACTAGTGCCCTGGATATCAATCTTTGAAATCCACACTGAGCTGCAAGTAAGTGTCGTCGGTGTTCGTCATCTGAATCATCAAATCACTACTCACCTCAGCGTGATAAGACGGAACCGGTTTTCGTCGATAATTGAGTTTGTCTCATTCTTTCATATTTGCCATAGTTTCAGACAGAGATAGACGGTTTAGACGTCACATAAAATATTATCTTATCTCTGTTAGTGTAATCTCTAAATGGTAAAAACGAATCAGAAGTGCGTTTAACTGTGTACGTGAGTCTAGTGAATTTGAAACTATTTATATTGTGAAATATATTTTTTACGAATTTTAGTATTATCTATTTAGTTTTGGCGTAATGCAGTCAGAAAGTGAAAGTAAGTAATAAAAAGATTTGTTATTAATAAATTTTGCACTAATATTATATAAAAAAGTACAAGGACTCATCCTTTCAGTGAATCGTACTTAAGGTGTTTTTTTTTGGTGTGAACTGTTCATGTGCAATCTAAAAAAAAAATATCATTGGCATTTTCGGTTTAGGACTACTTCAAAATTGTGAAGCAGCAGAGGCATCATACATTATTGTAAAGTAGTATTCTCATAATAAATAAATTGCCATTTTCTACGTGCAATTGTTTATTTCATATAAACGTAGTCCCGGATAAGGTCATCATGATTCATTTTTTTAATTTAAAAGGGCGCTAATTCCCCTAAGCCATTAATTATATTTCGACAATCGACTCCACTTAATTTGACTACAATTATAATTTAGATTCAATAATATCGCCTATTCCATTTCTTTTGTTATTAACTTCGATGATTTTCTCAAAAATTTCAGCGAAAAATGAGACTGGCGTGTACAATGCGGGGAACTCGTCACAATATCCGGGAGCGCCTCCCCCTTACCCTGGACCACCACCAGGTCCCGCACCAGCCGCCTATCCCCACCCAGTCCAGGGTCCGACAATCGTCCATGGTACTACCACTGTGATACACGGACCAGCAGTGGTCCCCGCGGTGGTAGTCGGCCGTCAAATGGGCACCCAAGCAACGACCTACGTTTGCAAGTCCTGCAACCATCAAGTCATCACGAGGGTGGACAGAAGTCCATCGTTGCGCACTCACCTCTTTGCGCTCTTATTATGCGTTATTGGGTATGTGTGTGCTCCGTTCCATGCTAAAAACTGGAAATGGCTAAAAATATTTGTTTATTTATTACTGTTGTTTCGAAACGTTGCCGATTAATACGATTATCAAATACTTTTCAGGTGCTGGCCGTTCGCATGTGTACCATACTGCGTAGATTCCTGCAACAATGCCGACCACTATTGCACGAACTGCGGCGCGTATATTGGATCGTACGTAGGCTGAGGATTAGGGAGGTTTATTGCGTCGAACATCATTGCTATATTGAGATATTGACGAAGTGTGTAAAGCCTTAATTAAACTCTATTAAACAAATACGTAAGTGTTACATTAAAAGAACATATTTAAATAAAAGGAGAGACTAAAGTAAATATTTAAACAGAATAAAGAACTTATTTATACGTAACTCTCTTTATTATTGAGAGAGACATGGTATAACATTATTTTAACGTTAACTATAGAGAAAAATCTTTTTAATTTTTTTTTAGTAGTGGTAGAAGCGCCTGTGAATAAAGTAGAGGCAATATGCGATTACGCGAACGGTGTATGGAAATTAGATGAAGGGTGTCAAATACGTACGTAAACGTCCCAAAGCCCGGTTGCTTCCTGACGCATGACTTATGTATACATCCTAAATTTCATATCGATGTTTATTCTGCGATCAGATTTATTGTTATCACCCATGAAAGTTACATGTCAGTAAAGACACTTTTACGGTCGGTATGGCAATCTTGTTTGACTTGATTGCTATATGACGACTGATTTGCATCATTTTAGACGCAAATACTATCTTTTATCTTGCTTGGCTAAGCTTGAAAATATCAAAAGTGAGCATAATTATGATGTTTGCAATTTGCCTAAGAGGTAATAGTTTTATTTGTAATTTTCATAGTTATGTTTCATCGCCATCATCTTAGATGTGGAGTTCATTCAGCATCATCAGCTTTTAATTAAATGTGTGTTAAAACAATAAAATGTGAGTTAATTTCATCAAATTACGAATAATAATTAACACGAACATAATAAATTAAGACAACACACTAACTGCTTTTTATTGCATTTGTTAGGTAGGTACTTAAAGATTTTCACATTTTATAATAGAATAATTATAATTGGATAAAATTTTGTAATCCATTTAAAAAAAGAGGTAAAAAAGAACAATCAAAAGGGAATCTTGGCCTTTTCCTGACTTAGCTGCATTTTGTATGTGGCTGAACCGAGGTCTACAATGGAGGTTATGGTACGCTTGAATGAACAAGGTCATTTCGACTGCGTGACTAGCTGCAACGTTATTTGACGCTACTTCCGTCTACTGCCAATATCCGCTATACAGAAAATTCCTTAAATAAAAAATATCTCTTTGGATGACGAAAAGAACTATTCTCTCAGAGAACATGCTAAGAATATGGGGTACCATTTCTGTTAAATGTATATCTATGATATATTACAAATACGGTAGGACTTACACGAAATTTTCGCTACTTCAAGAAAACTCGTCTATTACCAATGTGACTGTACCGGTGCTTATATTACTTCTAACACTTTACTCTCTGATTTCTTTCATTTATATATCTATTCTGATATTTTTATTTTGTTATGATTAGAGTTCAGGACGCATTTGATGTTCTATAAATCAAATCATACAGTTTGAAGCATATAAAATGAAAACAATTAGTATGTGAACACCATTGCAAGTTGACGAAAAACAGCTCGCACCTAAAACTAAATTTAATTACTTTCGGGCGGGTTCAGTGTATATTAGGCGTAATTAATTTTGTATAGACTGATACTACGGATAGCAGACTAATCCATAGTGAGAATTATTTATTAGGTAACCTTCGTTAAATATACCTATGTAATATAATAAATCAATTTTTAAACAAAATATTTGAACATTTTTATTCAAACAAATACATAAAAAAGTATTATTCTTAAAACAGAAATTCCTTATACAATAAATCAGTTACAAAATTATAATACCGCATAAGTAATTTATAAATCTATCACGCAAATATTACTAGAACATTTTTCATACAAATAAAAGTAGCCAAGAATAAAGGGGCATTTTGGTTATAACAAAAGTTGTGTTAATAATTTCTAGCACGGTGGAAATGTATTGTATACAGGTTTAAATTTGTTTCTGAAATTAATAATCTAATATGATTAATGAACATAATGGTACATCTCATATTAAAATAAATTATTTTAAATGTATTATACATAGCAGCTCTCTTTAGAGTCGCTTGTACCTGACATTTTAATGATTGATGTGTATTATCGGTATCGTGACACACAAGAAAAGCATGCTAAAATCTTAATCAATTGATAACGTTGTGATCGCCAATGATACGATAATGTACAGCAAATTAATACTAAAAGTTATCAAATACTTAACGAATGCGTTAATGCATCGGGAATGTGTAGCGTCGACTATGAACTGTAGGTCCCGAGATAAGCGTTGCAGTTAGGGCAGTAGTGATCGGCGTTTTGGCAAGAGTTCATGCAATAGGGCAGGCAGACGCAGCACCAGCATCTGAAACAAGTGAAGTTCTTCACATCAGCCAGAAGAATTCCACTGTTCAACAAAATCCCTTAGAACGCCACAACGACGGATCATCCAAATTCTCAAAAGAATAATCCGACATGAACTGACTATTTTTGAATAATAAGTTAAGATCGGAATCATAGGCATGTCCGAAACAAGGCTACTATTTATATGAATGGTTGATGGTTTCGCCTTTTAACGCTAATTTGAAGTGTTTTGCATTTGTTTCGGACGCAGTAAAATTGTATGAATAAGGTTTAGTCAATTAAAGATTACTATAGATTGTATTTCTTTTGTGTATAAGTAAACAAAAACTTTCGGTGCTGCGGGATTCAAACCAGCGTCTTCTAGTTTCGCGCCCAGAAGCATTACTAACTAGACTAAGTGAGACTGTTAAGTAAACCACATGGTTAGTTGTCTTTCTGGTCGTTGTGATTTTGTAAAGAAAATCCACTCTTTGGCTGGGTAATTCTGTGTGCATATCAATATTTTGGTAACGTCGTCGCATTCCATAATAATAAAAGTGTATATAAACGATGTATTATTTTTTTTTACTTTGGGAGTATCTGTATACTTTAAAAAAAATTAAATAAAAATGCCCTGCACAATATAAAACTATTTAATTGAATCGCCAATGATAAACCGGTGGTTGAATGCCCTTACTTAACAAAACTAATGTTAATTTTATTTTAATACTTTACAAAATACAATGTTTAATGATCTTCTTTCATAAACACACGATAAAATTATAATTGCCACATATACAGGGAGGCTTTCCTAACGGTATCCTTTTTTTATTAAATTCTAGACATAAATAATGTTATATTAAAATGAAAAATATCTAAAATTACTCGTAATTAATTAATGACATTCATTTGAACTCATTTCAAAAAGTGCGTGTTTTATGGGCAACTACTATATTTTACGCGCGATCATTCATAACTAACACGCACACAAGTTCGTTTCAAAAGTATACGACGTATAAAAGTATACGTTCTGTTTTTTAGGGAACAGTATAGGAATTTTTTTGGAAAAAAAAGTTTCTTTTTATTTCAATAAACGATTATACTACTGAGTCTGAGCCTCTTGTGTGAATTTGGGCACCTTAGAAAAGCCATCCTGTGTAATTACTATTCGCGCACGGCGCGGCCCACCTACGGAATCTACAAAACCAATCGTGCGCGAGTCCGACTCGCACTTGGGCAATTTTTTTTTTACTTTATAAAAACTTACAATCATCATCATTTTACAGAATAGATAACTATAGTTTCATCCAATTCAAATGTAGGTACCTATAATATAGCATTTTATCTCACAATTATCTTAAATGTGGTTCTATAAGTTGATGTAACTTTTTTATTTAAGAACCGATTTAAATAACACTAACACTTAATGTGAATGAAGCTTACAATTCATTAATGAGTTGCAATTGAAAAAGCCGTTGAGATAAGCGCGCAGAAACGCACAGGCAAACAGATAAACAGACAAACATTTAAACAATCATTATTTTGGGTTCTACTGCGTTGATAAAGGCAGTAATATAGTTTTCTCCAATATCTTCCATGTACAGACAGCGATCAGTTAAATTTTTATTGTATAGATATATACGGTTCCTGGTCACTGGAGTGTTCTGGTACTAAAATATTCCCTTCTTCCAAAGGTAAGTTTGTGGCTAACATGCGACAGGAAAAATTTAACTTCAAAACACGTATTAAATTTAATCCACGCTGTACTTTCCTTGCGTGACAATAGTTACCGGTGGCGATCAATAGTATAAGCGCTTGGAAAAATCCTTACTAATATTATAAAGGCGAAAGTTTTATGTATGGATGAATGCTTGTTCTCTTTCACGCAAATACTACAGAATGGGTTTCAATGAAACTTTACAACAATATAGCTCACAAATAAGAATAACACATAGACTATAATCTATGTAGATATTTCTATGTATATCTGTCTTTCTGTCTGAATGTTATGCCTTCAGCCTTTTTTACGCAGATGTAGTCGCGGGCAGCAGCTAGTGTTCTATATATCAAGCGAGGGAAGGGGTTAGTTTTTAAGTAATACTTACAGAAACACGCAGAGGCCAAGAGCTATCAGGTGAGTTCGGGTCGTGGCTTTCCGTTCCACTCTAGACACAATTGTGGCGTGACACGAGGGGCAGACCAGACTGCTGGGTTCGGGTCCCACAGGCGCTATGTTCATGTTGTTTCTGGAACGAAAATAAAACAATATTAGAGCGCGGTGTATGTTTACACGATTTATCATATTTTTATGTATGTGAAAGTTGCCAAGCGAGCAAACGGTTCACCTGATGTTAAGTGAATCACGTCGCCCATGGACATCCGAGCCCATCTACACCTGAGGGTTGCAGATGCGTTGACAACCTTTTGAAAATTGGGCTGAAAATCATATCAAGACTCCTCGGACAGTTTAGTACTAAAGGCGGATATGATGACGATGATAATAAAATCATAGCACTACGCGGCCAGATAATGCAGTATGATAACACATAACCGATAATTAATTGAAATTTATCCGAAAACATAGATTGTGTTGCTTATGATTTTTTATCCTGATATTGAAACGAATTTTTAGGGTTCCGAACATCTGATAGCTTATCATTTGTTTATCCCGAAACGATTTTTTAGGGTTCCGAACATCTTACAAAACTAGAAATTTATAAAATCAATCTCTTAGGAGCTTCTATTCACAGTTCTTTTAATATGGAAATTGTTAAATTCTTACATTTGTAAACAAATGTGACCTGATTTATATGACTACCGCACATTCTAATGAAGTGCAATAAATGTGGTCATGAAATATAAATTTTGCGTTACTCAATAATTACACAAATATACTTAATTAGGCATAGAATAAATTCTATTTATACATTTCATTCACATAACACAGTCTATTCTATGTTAAACCGGTTGTTGTTCTAGTAAAATAAAATAAAATAAAAATATCTTTATTCACATAGACGCTTGCGCGTTCTTATGAAACGTCAAAATTTTACAAGAAATTAACACGTTCGTAAGGTACCACCGGTTCGGAAAGCAGTTTCTGTTGAGAAGAAAACCGGCAAGAAACTCAACAGTTGCTCTTTTTAAAAAAATCAGTTTACAATATAATAGTACATGTACAATAGTCTTGTTTTAGCCTACGTGAGTATCAACAGTATTAACCCCACACATTGGCGTCGTCAAGATATTCGGCAATAGTATAATAGGCTTTAGCCATAAGTGTACTTTTAATTTTTCGTTTAAATTCATCAAGTGGCAGACTTAACATCGACTGTGGGATTTTATTATACATGCGCACACTTTGCCCCATGAACGATCTGTTTACTTTTTGTAGGCGAAATAATGGCGTTGTTAGTTTGTCCTTATTTCTAGTATTTAGTTTATGTCTGTCACTATTCTTTTGATAATTATTAATATTCTGTTTAACATACAAAATATTACAATAAATATATTGAGACGCAACAGTGAGTATATTAATCTCTTTAAAAAGATGTCTGAGTGTATTCCGGGCTCCGATGTTATAAATTGCTCGGACAGCTCTTTTTTGAATAATAAATATTGAATTTATATCAGATGCACTACCCCACAACAAAATGCCGTACGACAAGATGCTGTGAAAATAACTGTAGTAAACAAGTCTGGCAGTGTCGATGTCTGATAGCTGCCTAACCTTCCTAATTGCACTAGTGTAATATTTAAGACCTTCGGAATGGATTATGACCTCCAAATAAGTTTCAGTTCGTCGACACAAATGTATGGCATGGCGCCGGTATGACTATAGTAAAATAATAAGATCCTCTCTTTTATTTACAATAATTTAATAATTTCTAAGTGTTAAATTACAATTAACGGGGCATTACGGTGAAATCACCTGAAAGATAACATATGATCCTTATCAAAACATGATAGTAAATGAAGAGGTTATGCTAAGTATTAACGCTAGATCAAACCTTTGCAAGAATTTAATTAATATTTAAAACCGAGATCACTGTACTAACCAATGTATAAACAAGTAATGAAATACTTTTAACAGGTGTAAAATTGTTTGAACGGCGGAAATACTTACCGTTTGTGTAAAGATGGACTTAAAAAGGCTAATATAGTTGTTTTTCCTTAGCGGCCACTTAACGACCAATTCACCGCGATATCAACAGGCGACTGTGTTGATGTTCGTGTTCTGCTCGGAATGAGCAGGTTTCGCCGTCAAACAGACTTTAATGTTTATACGATATAAATAAACGCGTTAATATCTACGCATTGTACAATAGCTTACACTAATACTGATGTTTTATACCAATTGTAGCCTTTCAGGCCAATTTTAAAACGCTTTCACTACATTCATGTGTAATATTTATGTCTAATTTCTCAATTATATTTTATCAACTTCTAAACAACCATACGATTTGGAATAAGTACACGTTTAAGAAAACATATAATATAATAATTAATAAATAAATTAAAAAAATTCTCATAATTGCCAATAAATGTTTTTGTATAATACTCGGTACATATGAATTGTATGATTTCGTAGATTTATTCATCATTACTTTAAAACTTTAATAATTAGATAAGGCTATATTTTAAAGATAAACTATGCTCTCAATAGTCGCTCATTTGTGGTTATAATTTTTTTATTAAGATATCAGTATCTAATACAAAATTAATTCTTTTTTTATTTCATACCTTCGTGAACTACGCGAGAAATGTTTGTGTGAAGTCGATGCATATTTAAATACATCAGCTGAACAATGAATAACGTTGTTCAAATATTACAAAATAGATGTAACATTATGACTATTTGGTAATTAAACATTTCTTTTTAAAAAGTGACATGGTTGTCTATAAATAACACCTGTTTTATAACATAACTAAATAGTGACTGTCATCCATCAATTTTCATAAGTATGAGGTTAGCATTTTAAAATACTTTACTACTATGAAACCAAATTATAAATTGCAATTTGCATATAATTTTTAGTGGATTTTGATAACATAAACTTATAATATAAAAACTAAATACGTTAATTTAAAAATATGAACAATTCAAAAACAGCTCATACGGAACATTGTATTATTTTTTATAAACGGTGCTCAAGTTATTGACATTTTGTTATCACCCCCAATACGTATTAAGTAAGGACTAGACACAAATGCAATTAAAAATGTGATAAATAATTTACAAAACGTGTTGTATAGTGACTAAGCATAACTCCACCAATTCGTATCGAAAACAATCCGATTTTCAGTTTTCTAACACTAACACTAACACAGAGAGTCATAAAGAAAAATGTTGTCAGAATCCTATTAATCAGAAACAAGTTTGTGTGGGGATCTAACAGTTATATCGTAACTTTCGTAAAAAAGATACTTAGTTGCTAATTTGAAAATATTGTTGAAAAGAAAATCATTAGTTTACCTAAATGTGTATGTAAATCAATAATATTACATTTTCACCTGATTTTACAAGAGACTTACTAGACTTTCTGGAATAAAATCAGTTTATTCAATCTCTTTTAAAGTCGTTGTGGTCTTTAAATTAACAAAAAATAAACGTAAGTACATAACTTTTCATATTTATACAGCGTGTCGTTACCATCGCGACAATAAATGAACACACGTCTAACGCTACGTGCCAATAATCAAAAAAAAAAATATTAACGTTAAGCAAAAACCATATTTAAAAAAATATTTTGCAAACAAACTAATTAAGTACAATAGAAACAAAATTTGTAACATCCTATACAACTCCTCTCCTTCTAACAGTATATTTTGTCTCTTTTAAATTCATTCAACCCATTCATATGCTTTGGGACCTTTACAAATGAACTTTACGTTACGCTTTTATAGGTAAGGATGTTCTAAAATTCTTTGTTTTGGAGAATTTAATAACTCTGTAAATATTGATGTTTAAAGAATTTAAATGTTTAATACAACTTTAAAAACTTATACCCTATATGTGTGTGTGTTCATTTATGTATCTATAACATAGTTTATAATGTACTTAGTTACCACTGAAATTAGTGATGATATAATACAAACTTTGCTCACATAGCACAAAGGCTTTAATCCCTAATTTGCTTTATAACATCATAATATTTGTTCCTTTATATATATATATATATATACGTTCGCTTCTCCGTTCAATTTGTTTGGACCGGCAAACCGTTTACTATAACTAAATACTTTCTATTTTTATTTTGTTGTGTACGACCCCAGAAATTGGGGTCCCTGCACCTTCCTTGCTACACAGCTCCTGTAGCTTATGCCGCGTTGCTGGCGCAAAGTTGTGGCTGGAGGATCGTCTGCCCTTTGCCTGCGGACCCCGAACACCCTACTCGTTTGCCTGTTGCCGTTGCTGCTGAGCTAGTGTATGGACTTATCGCTACCGGAGCTACAGGAAAGTGCCTTAAGAAAACTTTGGTGCATACTCGGTGGCTAGGGTGAACACACGACCCATCTATTTTTCTATATTTTTATTTGTATTAAGTTTTTTTCACTTGTTTAAATGATTGTTAGTTTTAGTTATATATTTATAGTTTGTTTTTTTATTATTTCTATTTTTTTTTAATTAAATAGTTTTGTTACCGTTTGTTGAGCTAGTTATTAATTTAATCTACTCGAAACCTACGTTTCAATGGTGAAAATGTAATATTATTGATTTACATACACATTTAGGTAAACTAATGATTTTCTTTTCAACAATATTTTCAAATTAGCAACTAAGTATCATAATAAAAAATTGTATATATATATATATCTTCATGACGTTACAGAAATATATGTATTACTTACTACTTGATCTTTGCGAAAATTTCTCCCAACACTGAGATCAGTCACCGAAGGGTAAAATATTAATGTGCATGGAATTATTCATTAAAAATACCTTATTTTGAAGAATAATGATGAAATTCAGAAGCTTTAATATAAACAAATTGTCTATAAATGGCATTATGCTTTAAGAGAAGTTATTCTGTTTCCCCAAAGTTTTACGTCAAAGGCGGCAACTATAAGCTTTAAAATGCTGTTTGAACAATACAATATATTATTATAGATGTTATGGCGTTCGGATAAAAAAAAACCACTAAGAATTTATAAATTAATTAAATAATATAAATAAATTAAATGAAAGTTGCGTATAATTAGTAGAATACGTACTTAATGTAATCAAGGAACTCTATATCAGCAGCCGACTAAGATTAGCTTTGACCGCTCAGACAGACGACCAGATAATTAATTAAGAGAGGCATACGTCGCAAAATGTGCTTAATGTACATACATATGCATATTTGTATTTTGTCCACAGCATACTTAGAATCGGCACAATTCAAATATAATTAACTTTTACTTTTTCTCCACTCAACAAATCTGTGTTGTTTTTCTTGAAATGTATAATTACGCATTCGTGTTCACATAATTCTTTGAATCTTTCTTCTCTTTGGGGTGTTCTAGAAAAAGGAATAAAAAATTGTATTTAAGTAATTATTGTTGCGTAGATATGAGATTGCTTTTAAATAATTCGAGGCGCTAAATAAGCGCCTCGAATAATGATATCTATTTAAATAATGATACGTTTCTAATAGTTGCGTTGGAAATATGTAAATCAAATATTGCAAGTATTCACGGCATTCAATCTTTATGGGATAATCAGAGACGTATCCTAAGACGATTTACATAATTTATGTTTTCGAAGGCATGCCTTCCGCTTTAAACAAGCAAAATAATCGTTAGATAGTAAATAAAATATAAAAGTGTAACATCAATAAAAAATAAGGCTTTTGAACCAAGCGACGCAGAGACCACATTTCTGAGACCACAGAAGACCCAGACTCAGAGTTTACTGCTGAATTATCATTGCATAAATAAATATAATTTTTTCTTACTGGAGAAACACAAAACAATAGTCGCTTCAATAGAATATAATCATGTAACTTAATTATTACATATATAAGTGTACATTAGATAATAAAAAAACGAACTTTAGTAAAGAGTAAAGTAAAAGCTTAAATGTCATTAATTGTCTTAAGCTTAAATGTAAAAAAGCGTAAAAGTTTAAGTGTCCTACTGCTAGGCAAAGACCTCCTCTGTAAAGAGGGTATCAGGGCATAGTCCACCACGTCACCTCATTTCGGATTGGTGGACTTCATACTTTCGACATATTTTTTTTTCGTTATTACTTCGAAAATATTCTGGTTTTCTCACGATTTTTTCCTTCACCGTTGAGCACGTGATAAGTCAGCACTTAAAATTAAAAATTTCATTGGTGCCGCCACCGGGGATCGAACTCAGGTTGCTCGGCTATATTGCATTAAAAGCTAGCGTCCGGACAATGAGCTATCACGCCTCCGCTCTGATGAAAAGTTCGGATTATTATCTGCTACTAATTTTTCGCATTGTAGCAACAAAATATCAATTAACATTAGTACCATCATGTTGGCAGTCCACCATCGTGCGCTTTTCAAGAATATCGAGCTAGGCAGCAGTATGTATTGTCCCTTGTAATATTCACTTATAAAATGGCTATGTATTTATAGTGCTACGCGATTCTACTTTGTGGAATTAGTTATCGCGTGGTATTGTGAATTTCCATTATAAAAGTCTACAAGTATGCTGCAAGGGTTTTTGTGGTAAATAAAAAATAACTTAAAAGTAGTTATGTATTAACTACTTTTAAATTATTTTTGCTAGCTTCTCAACTGTACAGATTCTAACGCGCGCACATGCAATTTATTACATTGTATTCGATTATATTCGATCTTTTTAACATGTGGTTCACTAAACTTGCACGACATGTTCTACCAGACCAGCACATGAAAATCCTGGATATGCCGTTAGGCGCATTCACTCTTAATTGATTGGTTTCAATAAAGTGAATGCGTTCGCGTTTAAAATCGAGTGAAGTAATTTTTCATCCCTATCACGATACGTGGTAGATATGTGCATGGATATTTACTGGTAGCCTATTTCTTTGGGATCACTTTGCTGGTTTTGAAAAAAAATGTCATGTTTTCATAAAATCAGTTAAAAAAGTGAAAACATAAGTAACCAGTGTTTCTTACCGCTTCTCGGGACTGGTATAAATAAGTGAACTTATGCTGAAATTTGACACTAATTGTTAGTGCTTTAAACAATCCTAAAGTGAATAATAACATTCAGCTTTTGATAGCAAAAAAATATTAGACTTTATAAGGGTTTAGAGATAAAGCTTTTGTCATGAAGGTAACAATAGTAATGTCATGTAATTAATTTGTAACTTAATCGTAATATATTGAAATGGTTTGAAATTAAAGCTTAAAGTTATTCCTTACACCGTATAGATAATTAGATGGTATTCGCTCTTTCTGTGGTAACTGAGAACATCGTGCGTCCGAAATATATGCTTTCTGCCGAGAGATGGCTGCTGGGTGGTGTACAAACAATGCATTATTTTAATTAAACGAGAGCAATAGAAGCGAAGATATAATAAACATATTTTATTAACACTTCTTCGTAGTATTTGCACAAGTCGCTTCGAGGGTGTTTGTTCCCGTTCCCTAAACTAATCTTTGAACAGCGGTTGTGAAGTGTAAGCAAGGAATGTTTACGGTTTTGTTTTCTATTAGATATAAGATAAAGGAAACTATTTATCATTATTATTAAGTTCGTTATTCGTATGTCTAAATTCGTTAATAAAAATATATTAGCGGTAAATGTTAAAAGTTATTTAAACTTTAACTCCGGCGTAATTCAATTAAAATAAATTTTAAACGTTAGAGATAAATCTCTAATGAATTAATCAACAAGCAGAATTCGGCGGTCGCGTATAGTTTTCGAGAAAAAAAAATATTTAAAACTTGTTTTTTGTACTAAGAAATCCACTATTTTATTTCTTTGACTTCAAAAACTCAATACACAGTTCTGCCAATATGATAAATATAGGAAGCGGGCGACATCATGCACGTATCGATATTCCGATTTTATTAATTTAATGAATCACAGAACCGACACAGAGCGAATCCGACTCGGATAGATTAGGTTAGAAGGTTCAGGCGGGAGCGGAGCTCCCGCCTTAACCTTCGATCTTAGGTTTTTTTTTTTTATGACCACCAAGAAATACGAGCTGAATTGACATATTGACAACAAAAAAATGGCGGATTTCTATAGTAAAAAAAACACTATTTCATTATTTATTTTTTCGAAAACTAGAAGCGACCGCCGAATTCTGCTTGTTGATAAATTCATAAGTGATTTTTCTCTATCGTTTAAAATTTATTTGATTTGAATTACGCCGGAGTTAAAGTTATTTACCATATTAGCATTCAGTACTTCTTTTTTTATGTGAGAAAGTGGTAAACGAGCTGGCGGTTCACCTGATGTTAATTGATAACCGCCACCCAGGACATTTGCAACACCCTTAGACATTTGCGTACAAATGCGTTGCCTCCTTTAAATAAAGTGGGCCCCGGCTACCTGACTCACCAAACGAAACACGGAAGTATAACACTTCTAATTAACGCCGGTCTTCTGTTCTTCTCTCTATAAACTATAAGTGTAGGAATTGCATACTCCTACGTCCGCGTAATTTCCATAAAAAGGGGTACAAATTTTTTGCTTCACTTATTAATATATAGATTCTTTACATAATTAATGATATGAATTTCGTAGTATTTTGAAATAATTTAGAAAATCGTGTCTGATTAGAAACTGTGTAGTAAGTAATGAACAGATCAAAACAATATAATATAGTAAAAGAAGTTAAACAGAGAAAATAAAATATCAAAATCGCAGGTAGGCAGCAAAATAGAGCAGCAGTATAGAGGAAGATTGTTGAGCGTATGTTGCATTCTTTAGATGATAGGTGGCGCTGCCAAAATTAGTATTTTATTAATTTTACCGAGCTGTTGATCTGTGTTGATAATAAGATTTCTAAAACTCTAGTCTTTTAACTACGGTATGGGTGTACCAAGGATCTTTACTATGTAAGTATTATAAAACATGGTAAATTGAAACTATTTTACGGATATTAGGGCATTTTAATATGTTTGAATCCTGACGTTTCGACTTCATTTCGGTTCATGGTCACAGGATCTGTCCTGAACCATGAACATCGGAAAGGATTTTAAATGAATGTCTGCGATACATATTATAATTTTAGGGTAAGAACAAGAAATCAATATAAACTAAAACAATGTAATTGTAAAATATTGTTACTCATTAAGATCCAATTTCATCGTCATTTGTTTAATTAATTTGCAATGTATTAGGGATTTGACCTAAGGTGGCTCGAGTACATTGAATTAAAAGTGAGCGTCCGGACTCTGAGCTATCACAGCTCTTATATAACATTGATATACATTTTTAATCACCAAGACAAAATCTTAGTTTTAATGTTTGCAATGAACGTAGGAGTTCTTCCAACGGAGTCATTTAAACTCAATATAATGCCTAAATTTAGATTTGTATTGATTTAAATGGACATTTCCAGTACTTAGATGTATATTGATTTAACCGGACTTTGTATATTGACATAGTTTGTAATTAGAATAAAAAATTATTGTCTACACCATGTGGACCATTGTCATTTCTATGGGTTTGACTTATGGTTATTGTTATTTATTTACTTGGTATTAACTTTTTCTATGGTAAATGAGCACCGTGCCCGTTGAGGAGTAAAATAAAAGACTTCGTCGATTGTAGATCAAAAGCTGCAAATGTAACTTGAGCGTTCGCCGCTCATGTTATATGAATCAAGAACATTGTCAAGTGGACTCAGCGCGACAAATTCGACGGTTACTTTGCCATAAATACGCGGTGAGTAAAAAACTGCAAAATATGTTTCGCAAAATACAACGTCGTCGGGACACCGACGTCGAGGGAGGCAGTACAATAAACTGTACGACACTTCCGCACATAAACCTTCTGTCACGCTCCCTAGAACGGTGCACCGACGTGCAGCTCATGGAAACGTTATTTTGCTATACAATATTACTAGTATTTATTTTGCTGATACTACTATTTACATTTTTTTAATTATTTAAAATAGTGATGGCTTTGCAGTACGCGGACGGTTGACCTCCGAACTCGCGATCTTTTTGGAGAATTTTGGACTAACAATGTTTCGATTGGATCACACCCCGTTATGTTTTTGATTGAAATTAGAGATGTTATTAATTAATTGATTTTATCGCGATTTATTTTTTATGATTGATATGCTTTTATTTCAAAATACGACAAAGTTTTGAATACTGTGGAGCATTCATGGTTGCAGGACGGAATGAGATGTTGACGTCACCGTTGGCTAAGTGATGACGGTACATCTTGAAAATTATTAATTGTTGTCTGATTTTCAAATGTCCTGTAATAAGCCCCATAAACAAGTATCAAATCTAACTTTAGTAAATATCCATATTTAAACTTCTACGTCAGTTAATGCAAAGGCTGCGTCAGGCTTGCGGAAATACATTTTCGCGGACTCCCTAAAATCAAATGTTTGTCCACAAAACTCGCTCGTATCTCTATCCGTGTTATTTTGATTGTTGGCTTTGTGCCTTCGATACAAGTTCTCCAATTTTAATTCCTATGGTCTTCGATCCTCAAATCGGTAAGCACCACCCAAAGTAGTGCTAGTCACATCGATATCATCAAAGACCATGTCGTTTCTTACAAACCAAACAAGTGTGGGTTAATACTGCCATCGCTATGGAATGGAGCTTAACTATTAACCGACTAGCCATTGCCAGCTGCACAATCGCCGAGCTATGGGGAATCACCCCCGAGGCTCGCGATAAGACGGTTCGACCTGCGGGTATAATCCTGCAACTAGTATAATATGTGCTCCGTGGTCTTAAGTTAGGTCTCACTACAAAGTGGTTTATTTCTATAATGGGTTCAGTGACTTATATAATAATTCAGTGAGCGTAGCTTTCGATTTTTATTACTCTAAATATTTTTTTAGAATTGATTTTTATTTTAGTCCTAGTCTCTACACACGAGATGAAACTTTAAATTATGAATTTTTGTCGACAAATAAACAAAACTTTCGGTGCTGCGGGTTTACTGCTCTAATTGCGACTTCTGGTTTTGCGCTCAGACGCTTTACTGACTAACCTAAGTATCGATAACCTCATGGTGCTAAAATCTCGACATCTCTACGTTCGTTTTATTGCATTTTTAGCAATGCTTGTCGCCATCTTGTGTGCATCATAACTAAAAAATTCGCAATCTAAATACTTTTTTCCAATTTGAATCAAGTAAAGTCTCCTCTGCAGAATTAGGTACTGACGGGATTAAAGTTTCTTTTCTTGTTAAATTTGTTCGTATTCATTTTGTGCGTACAATAAATCCAATATGTGCCAAATATATATTTTTTCCGCGTGAATACTTACGAAAAAGAATTTTTATTAGATGACCCTTCGCGCTGTCCCCAGTTGACCCTCGTCAAGGGTTAATTTTAGGTTAACGTCCCATTGATTCCGATTTGGGTCGAATTTTCTCATAATTATAGTAATAATTCTCACATTTTGTATTTACATTTTTAATGATTTCTTACTATATAAAGTAATCTTTCCTATTGCATGCGTGGTCTTTTTTGGCAAATTTGTATTCTGCTCCCTTTTTTGAGCTTCCATTTTTACCAATATTTATAAAACAATTATAATTTAATGAATATTTCAGCACATGTTTTTACACAAATTTATCTAATACTAAACTAAGCAAAGCTTTTACTATGCGTACTGCGTAACTGGTAATCATACTGAAACATACTTTTAAAAAATTCATATAAAAAATATAATGTTCATCACACAATATTTTTACCCTAATTTGAGCCCGCACCCTCTGGTTCAAGAGACTAAACGGCCGATGAACTCACGGCGCGATAATCTCCACATCTGTCTATGTTCTTTCTATTGCATTTTTAGCAACGCTTGGTGCCATCTAGTGTGCATCCTTTACAGCATACAACACCTTACAAAGAAGATTCAACGATGAACATACTTGTAACGAGAGATGTCATCATTACTCTTAATATTTTACGATTAATTTTTATTTTTAGTGCCGGTCACTGCAATCAAGATGAAATTTTAAATTGGAAATTTTGTATATACGAAAAATATTCGGCGGCGTGGGATACGAACCTGCATGTTCTTCTATTGAATTTTTAGCAATCACGGCCAGGATCGTCCAGGGAGGTCCGGCCTCACAGAAGAGCTGCGTGAAGTTGAAGTGTTTTACTTTCGCGTTTAGTTTGGTGAGGTAAAGGGCCCGGTGTAAACGGAGCATGGAGAGAGAGAGGGGGTATCCACCCGTTATTAAGACAAAGTGGTGCGAGGGACCGTCATGGTGATAATTAAGTAATTGTGTATACAGTTAATAAACAGGTGTTCGTTTTGAATTACGTTATGCTTTAAACGTGTTTTCTGTTATGATCTTTAATCGTTAAAAATTTAGTGTTTTAATGTAGAAAAAAAATGTTTTACTATAACTACGGCCTTTTCATAAATAGTGTTGGAAATCAAATAATTTTCAAATAGTAAAAATAAAATGAGTATCCTCACCAACCTCGAATAACTTTTAATCGATGTAAGCAATCGCATTATCAAAACAGTGATTCAAGTTAAAATTTCATTTACACATTACATTTAGAGTAAATAATTTACAACTTGTATTTAATAGGTTTGGACGAAGCTGTGTCGGGTCACAGTAAGTTAGTTAAACGCGCTGTTTGGTTAACCGAGACAATATTTGTTCTGGCAACGCGAGTTATTTTATCATTTAACGTTACGCCCGTTGTTTATGTATAATTTACCGTGTTTTAGTGTAACTCCACCGTACAGAGCTGTGGGTATAAATTTTCGGGAAATATTTGTTTATATTATTTAACTTTAGCTCTATACGACTATAAATTTCGGTTAAACTCAAATCTTAATTTTAGTTGAATAATAATTTTGTCGACAGTTCGCATGATACCGTCAACGCGACTAAACATCGTAAGGAGGTATGCAGAGATGGTTGATGCTACTTGCATTCTACTTCTTGTTTGTATCATTGTTTGGTGTGTTTTTGGAATTTCATTAATTTGATCATGAACGCTGGAAAGGGTTGTATATGTCACTATGTCAGCAGGCATTTAACATCAAAATGAGACGCGATAAAATCCGTAAAAGAGTTTCATTTAAATATAATTTTTCTTTTTGGAACAATTATTTATATGTTTTTGTGCTATAGTTAGGTGTGGTAATATCTTAAATATTTTTTCTATTATATTTGATCTCTTTCATTTCTCAACAGGAAATTTATAATATACACTTGTAACCTACTATTATTTTACTGTGGATTCAGTTTTTGATTATTGAGATGAAAGGGCCTGCTCGTCCGGGAAGTATCGCGGTGAACCATCTGTCCTTTCTTTTATAAAAAAAAGCGAGTTGTCAAACGAGATGTTAAAAGATACCAATTTATATCAAAATTTTGAATCGATTACAAATTAAGACTATTAATACTGATGTATGACAATCCTTTTTGAGTAATATTACTCTGTCGTACGGTTATAATTAAGTCTATTTGTCGTTTTTATATTAAAAGTAATAGCACCATTACTATGTAAACGTTGAAAATTAATCTTTAAAATCACGCCACCAAAGACGATCTCTCCAAGCGCATCGACGTAATGTGAAGCAGTAACTATTGACGTTCGAGTCATTATACGCACACAGAACACCACATCGAAAAGCCAACACAATGTCCGGGGCTGCCATTCAGTACTAATTGATTGGTTTCAGCAGATTGAATGGCTATCGCGAGACCGGTATCGCATTTAACGATAAAGTTGCCGCGCTCTGAGCGGGCGTCCGATTTACGGCTGAGTGACTCTCCCATTGCAACACAAATTCTCTCATAATTACAACTTACTCGAAATAGAAATTGTGAGAGTGAGAGATTAAAACAATTCATATCGAGCGACATTAATATTCTCTCTATTTCCCCTGTTTTGCACGAGGCACGATTGGTTAAACAACAACAAGATTATGTGCCACTCGACTTTTTTTTAAATTCAATACTGGCCTGCACTTGACTGCAATCCCACCTGATGGTAAGTGGCGATGCAGCCGTTGATGGTAGGCGCGCTAGCTCAGTAAAAACCTATTCACTCTTGCCTTGAAGACGCCTACGTTGTAATCGGACGGAACTTAAATCAAAAGCAGTGTTATATGCAGTGTTAAAGCAATTTCTTAATGTTTACTAATAATACTTTACTTACCTAGATTACTTACTAACCTAGATTTAAGTCACAATGTTATTTACTAATACTAACAAACTATGGACAATGTACTTAATTTTGTGTATTGTCTGAAATAAATAAAGATTATTATTATTATTATTATTATTATATGCTGAAAAAAAAAAATGTTGGACTAAAATCTTGTATGGAGACATTGATATTAATGATATAAACCAGTACTCAGCAGATACCAAGTTCACGGAAAACGATAAGCGCTCTTTTGCACTGAATGCCCGGCGTCGATTTCCTATTAAAATAATCCGATTATAGCTACGAGTATCTAACCATCGCTCTTTAGATTACAGACTGAAGGGGCATTGTTTGGTCTTATCGCTGTAATTATGCAATATGAATTTTATACAAAGAGTTTTTATATTTTTACTTAGCTAGCCCAACTAGAGTATGCAGTTATATACAATGGTATGCTACTGAAACTTTTTGTCAATAAATTTTTATTGAAATATACCATATAAAGAGTATCTAAAGGACTTTGTAATGCTTTGTAAGGCATAACGAATATTTTAATTTACATATTTACGGATTTTATCGTAGTCACAGTGTTAAAACACCTGACGGTTAGAACTCTTTAAAGCATTCGTGGTAATGATTTTAACACACCTGTGTTAAAACATATATTGTGTCCTTCATCACTCTTCCATTGATATCATTGCATTAATCTTTATTATTTTAGGTTGAATTCAAAACGCCACCGTTTAATGGAGACTCAGATATAAGGCTACCTGGAAATGCGAAATACCGTTCAAGTTTCGGTTATTCCGGTGACTTCTGCCAGGTCGGTTTTTGCTTTCGTTTATTTTGCACGTTCATGTTTGTTTTGTTTCAGTTAGACGTTTTAGTATATACTGGAAATAAGTAACTTTATCTAGCAGGTTTTAGTATATTATTTACTGGAAATGGGTACATTATCTGCGAAAATTAAACAATGTTGAAGATAAATATTTCTTCTCTTTATTTGAATGCCTTGTTAGAAAATGCAAACTATAACAAATATAACAAACTATTATATTTATCTATAGTTGAAACCTATACAAATTAATACTAGTAACTCACACAAAATTTCTCGTTAGTCAATTAATTAATAGAGTGTACATTACAGTGAAGTTACACAGTCAAAAAAAATCCAAAACAAGGCTTTTTCTACTCCGGGTCTATGATTTCCATTTATACGTAGCTCCATATTGTGTCCTTTGTGGATAGATGACAAAGTTTGTTGTAAAGTTAGCTACGTATTAATAACTATTAATACGTACGTAATTTACTTGATTATCAACTGATAATTTTGTAAATTGATAATTATCTAAGAGAAAGTATTAACTCTAGTGGGCAATATATATGAAAATAGTTTAATAGTGCAAGATGGGTTCCAATTTATTTATAAATGATATTTCTGTTATGTTTTGGTATCAGGTAATGCCTTATATTAACAATACTACTGCAAATAACTAATAAAATTAAAAAAAAATATTTATATAATAAATTCACGTTCAAATTGAAATATCTTTATTTAATATAGAAGCATTAAAGTAATTTATAGATTGTCAAAATATTACTACCCATTCGGAAAAGAAAAGCCATAGACTTGAGAAGAACCGGTGAAAGAAACTAGGCGGGCTTTTTTATACCAATGAAATATGTACATCCAATATAATATTATATAGTCTTTTTGAAAAATCCTGGATCGATTAATTCATTCCTAGTGCGTTCTCATTTAAATAATCACTAATAACCCTGAATTTAGCAACTGATATATTTTTAACGTTTTCTGGGATTTCCTTGTACGAACGTGTACATTGTCCAAAAAAAGATTTACTTATTCAACGAAGTCTACTTTACTTGTGGGTAGAATTATTAATTTATGTTTTAGAATTATTAATGTAAGTTGATTTCCTGATCCTTTTTATTATGGACACAACATAACATTTTCAAGTATGTACTGATAAGCTGTTTGTATAAGCACAAAGGCCTCCCGAATAAAGAGGTTCCAATAGTGCCCCCACCACTGCGACCCCCACTTAACAAAGTAGTGAAAACAAAGTAGTGACATCTTGTACTAATTTTATGTTAGCGAATATCCTTGCGGTGGTATGCAATGATTTATTATAAGCATTTCCCTTAGAAACACTTTCTTACACGAGACATTATACATGCTTCTTGACTATGGTAATGGAGTATTGTGGTTTGTGTTCAACGTTACTTACGAGTAAGTTCCTGCTTTGAAACATAATCCTGTCTATGTTTTGTGAAGTATAAGTACGAGTTGACTTCAAAGCAAATGTACAGTTTGTTTCATACAAGCTATAAAATTATGAGAAAGAAGATTAACACAATAAGCATATACCATTTATTGGATTTTTTGAAATGAAGTTGCATACCTTCGAAATGTATTTTTTTTTTTGTTATTATTTCGAAAATATGCAGGTTTTTATCACGATGTTCCTTCACCGCGGAGCACGTGATAATTCAGCACTTAAAGTTAAAAACTTCATTGGTGCCGGCACCGGGGATCGAACTCAGGTTGCTCGAGTATATTGAATTAAAGGCGAGCGCCCGGACACTGAGCTATCACGGCCTTACATAAAATGTTCAAAAAATTTTAACTTTTATAGGAAGTTTTGAGAGATCAGCATTTCTGAGCTTAATAATTTTATTACTTTCATGTGTTAAAAATGTTATGAAAGTTATGTTAAATGATAACTTGAACTCTTACTTTGTAACGATTATCTATAAATTAATTACGGAAGTTTTAAAATTCAAGTAAAATATGACTTTTAGATACATTCATTTGTTATTTTCATAGAATTTCAAATACAAAGGACTTCTAGGGTCGCCACTAAAAAGTAACGCAAAACCACCCTTTTACATTCGCTCTTATTTGAAACTTTAATGGGGCTCAACAGAAACCCTCTTCATTTAAGCGTTCACAAAACTTTTAACACTGTGCCAGCTGAAATTTCGTATAATGGATCAAACAATAACAAGCGGCTAATTTCACTATGGTTATGTCGGACGCATAAAATTTATGATTTTAACGTAACGTAAACTTTTCGGTCCCTTGTCACTGAACTTATCATTCTATGAAATGGATCTAAACTTCAAAATTTCCTTTCTTGCTGATAATACCGCTTTTTTTAGGCTAACGCGTTTATACAGAATTTTAATATACATATTAGGACAAACTGTTGTGTTGAAAAGTATTAAATGGCTTACACGACAGACATGATTAATAGAAATTTTTACGTCTATAATTAAGTTACAGCATAGTAACTAACCATAAGTTATGGATGGATATTTACTACCTTCCTTCTCATACGGTTCACAAACCTGAATATACAACAAAAATGCGGCAGATCAAATACCAAAGTGCTATGGAAAGGAGCATCTTGAATATTAGGCTGAAGGATAAAATAAAATCAGAAAACATAAGGAAAAAAACCAATGTGATAGGTGCTCTACAACAAATGAGAAAGCTCAAGTGGAAGTGGGCCGGCCACGTAACACGTCTGTTCGATGAAAGATGGACGCATCTGACTGCAATTTGGGCAGGCCTAGCTAGCGGGTCTAGCTTGCTTGCCACTTGCAAGCAAGCTAGACGCCGCCCAAAGGAAAAATATGCTGGAAACGACTGGACAAAACGGCAAACACAAGAAAAACTTGGAAGCTGTTGGAGGAGGCCTATACCCGCCAGGGGCCTTGGCTATATATATTTAAAAAACCTAACCTAACCAAACCTCAGAACAAACCTCCGTATTGAATTTGTTTCAATGTTCTATTTTCTGATCCTGTGATCATATAACTACATCCTTTCTTTTTCAGGTCTGCTAGAGAATAAAATCCGAGGATAAAATATTTTTTTATGTTGCCTCGTATAGAAGTAAAGAATTTAGATATAGAACAAGCACTCCGAAAAAAATCTATTAACTTATCGCTGTTATCAATCGGTCGAGATTACAAATGTGCAGAAAGATACACTGGTATGTTTCGTAGTAATGGAACAAGTATTAGTAATTATAATTCGTATATCTTTGATTTTTATTTGATAAGAAGAAAACAATAATACACTTGTCTTTATTTATTAATAATAAACGAAGAGATATCTTTATCAGCATTAAAACTAAAAACTAAATAAATATTCATAGAATTTTAATTATGACAATAGTAAATATATACAATCTACAGGAGTTTGTAGCTTTTACATTCATGTTGAAATAGAATGCCGTTTCAAAGTTGCAAATGTTTTAAGTAGACAACATGGATAGCGATCACGTAGCTCAATGAAAGCTTTGCAACTTGACGCCAAATAGTGAGAACATAAGTTCAAATATTGCTTAGGCGTAGGTTATCCTGGCGAATGTTAAGTTCAAATAGTATTTGGTTCTAAATATAATTTATAATTTTTCCGCACCACGTTGTTCCTAAGGTGTGAACGAAAATTTGTTTGTTGTGTGTCTATACTCAAAAATTGCAGTCAGTTGTCTCTCACTCATCTGGATTCCTGCAAAGCTATACTCTTCGGTATAGCTTTCCAGGAATCCAGATATTAATTGAGAATATGCAAAGACTATGTTCAGCAGTGGACTGAAAGGACTGAAATGATGATGATGATGCTTCAAACACTTTTGTTATAAATGTAACCTATAATAAACTGTTAGGTATGAGGTTGACTGCATACTTTTGAAATTATGCTTTGATATCGTTTACACGACAGACTTTTGCTGGCTACATGGGAAGGCAGCTGCCTTGAACTCTCAATGATGCAGGCGGTGTCGCGTGCCACCCCAATTCACCGGCGACGCTTCGTTTGGATTGTACTTCGTTTCTAATATCGAATGGATGTAGTAAATCACCACTAAAACCACTTAAATCTGTTATAAAAGTCATTTGTGCTGGCAAATTATATGCCATGTTTGTGTGTGACTGGCAAATTATATGCCATGTTTTGAACATTATAACAACGTTTTTATATTGGATGGATTCTGTTGATACAACTGGATCTACAAAAACAATGCGACAAAAAAGTGTTGGATGAAAATAAATAAATTGAAAGTTTTCAAAGTACTGTAAAAAACCTCGCCCTCAATTAGATTGCGTTAATTTTTAATTACTGGCCCTTAATTATGTATTACACGGAGCGAGTCCAACATCTCCACTAAGCCAGCGGGTTATTAATTATCCATAATGAGCAGAATGAGAAGCTTAATGCATATTGATGCCAACATAATTGTATTTTCAAAGCGATCAATAATGAACGCCCGCCTCATTATACGTACACAGAATAACACATTGTAAAGTCAACACGTTGGCCGGTGCTCGTATTCACTACTAATTGATTGGTTGCAGCTGATTGAACGGGTTTTAGTGCAATATCCGACCAGTCATCAAATAACTTAATTGAAAAGATGCACTGGATCTGTAACAGCGTTTCAAAATATATTGATCAAAAGTTACCCCATTTCAAAATATTCAGTTTAAATTATGTGTTTGTAAGTGGACTATTAACGCTTCATCGAAACGGCTTTCCTCAATAACGAGAGAAGCCTTTAGTGTATTGAGTTTTGCGTGAAAATAGTGAAATTCTATGTTTGAAATAATTTCAAATAATGCCTAAGTGATTACCAGACGGGTTAAATTAAATCCAATCACTTGTGTAACCTGTATGGAAAAGTGAAAAGTCGGTATCGCTTCAAATCAAAATTAATTATGGAAAGTTGGGCAACAAATCCGATGAAAAATGGATTGTAGGCAATGCTGATGCCCTCAGTAATTAAAAAAGTAGGTGTCATTAGTATTTGATTAATGAACTTATGTTCACAACATTTTTATGATCGAATTAATTTGTAATTCATGACGAAGATTGCACGTATTACTAAATACAAAAATGTGCATACAGGTGAACTATTTGTGTAATCTCTTCAAAAGTTTATTTCGCCTTCGCTAACTTGTTCGTTTGTTATATATTTTTTTTATGTGTGAAATTAGTAAGCAACAACCAGGCGTGTCTTCTAATGTTTAGTGATTTATAATTTGCGCTATCAACTTTAAAATAATTGGGCCCCGGTGACTTCACTCGCCAGATGGAACGCCAGAGTATTATAAAACTTCCACTTCACGACGGTCGTCTGCGAGACCGCAGTGCATCCCTGGACGAGTGCACTTATTGAAACAGTACAAACTGCTGTGTGGCCCTGCCTCGGTTATATTGACGTAACGTGTTATTGGCAGGCATAGATTGTTATTATTTTTTGTTATGACCACCTTTTATAAAGATTTTGAACCTGAAAATTTTCCACTTTTGGATATTAGGAGCCAATACACTGATAAAATACAGCGGTTAGTAAATAATAGTGATTATGTATTGAATTAATTAAATTATGTTGTTATTAAGAACTCTATAATATGCTATAATAACTATGGTAGTGCCACTCAATAGCTTGGGCACTTATTGCACGAATTGTTGCACGAATGGGCAGGTCCATCCGGGTAAGTACCACGATCTTTCACTACTGGCGTGAAGTGGAAGTGTTACTTCTGCGTTTTGTCTGGTGAGTGAGGTAGCCAGGGCCCACTTTATTATAAGGTGGCAACGCATCTTACGTGTGTTGCAAATATCCATGGGCGGCAGATATCACTTAATATCAGGTGAACCGCCAGCTCGCTTGCCACCTTCTCACATAAAAAAATAAAATACAGTTGTACCAATACTTCACTTGCGCCGTGTATGGTCTTTGTCGAATAATTAAACTAATTTACGAATTTTGTTGTTAAACAGTAGGTATTTGTTTTTCACGACAAACTATTCCACCAACATTAGGCATTCAATTTGCATACTCGTGAGCGCTGGATCTTAACACAAGTACTTGAGGTCTTCTTAGAGAATTTGAATCTCTTCAACAGGCTTCTTAGGTTAAAGATGGAAAAACGGCACAAAGAGCCGACAGCATCTGAACTGTTAGTCCCTTATTGCATCGTCCTCCTCTCAAACAGGAATAACAAACAAGCATAAAATAAGGTTCTGGTTTCTTGTTACAATATTTTTGAACTTTGCAGAGAAAATTTTTTGTTACCATTTATTTTGTTTTTTAACGTAGAAGTCTTGTTAAATACATCAAAATCCCAAAATAATTTGACCTTACCACAGCTACACAATAGCAATAGCGCTGTGGCACGAATGGGCAGGTCCTTCCAGGTAAGTACTACGACCTCACAGAAGGCCGAGGACTGGTGAGTGAGGTAGCCGGGGCCCACTTTTTTAAAAAGTGGCAACGCATCTGCAACCCTACGGGTGTTGCAAATGTCTATGGGCGGCTGATATCACTTAACATCAGATGAACCACCAGCTTGTTTGCCACTTTCTCAAATAAAAAAACCCTTGTGTTGATAGAAAAATTACAAGTTTAATACCATTCCTACCGTTAATACCATTCCTAGCCGTTTAATATCTACCACATTGAAACTTTGTCTATTTACATTTGAATAAGCCTAAATCCTTCGGCTTATTCACCGCAGCACCGAATCGATTTCAATTTAACGTTTGCGGTGACTTCACTTCAGACCAACGTTTAATTTCCCTTATTCAGCAACGGCTTATGGTATCGCTTTAGTGCTTAACGCTAAATGATACTGCACGGTAATTTATGCTGTTAAATCTAGTTTCCTCCTTCTGTTCGTATCGATTTTAATGGTTCTTTATGAACTTTCGTCTATTGTATTAATTCGGTACGTGTCTTCGATTTAATATCTTTTAGTTTCAAATAAATTATTCTCATTTTGCATTTACGGTAAAACTTTTCATGTGTTCTCGTTGTCATTCAGTTTTCTGAGATAATAAAATGAAAATATGAATGTGCAAATGAAGAGAAGATTAAAATACCGGCCTTTTACTCCCCGTAATCCGGAGCTCGTAACAATATTTAATAACCCGTTCGTTAATTAAGTTCTTGGAATAAGGGACAAGAAGTGAAAAAAAAAAATTAAAGTTATTGATTTCTTGATTTTAGGCGAATATTATTATTATACATTGTTAAATGAAACCATGGTACGGATTTTATTGCGTATATTTATGCGTTTAATGAGATTTGTAAATTCCCAACGTTTCGAAGCCTTTCCAGTGTTCATGGTCATGGGACAGACTGAGTTGTTACCATCCTCTCTTTTGGATGTTTCTTTATTTCAATAGCCTCGCGGATCATTTTTGCAAGGAATTGGTGTTCTTTTGCGAGAATTTTCGGTTGTACTGTTTGGGGCGGTCTTAAATATGATCACAAACTGCAGACTTCTTCAACCGTCGGTTCTTCACGTCAGCTATATGTTCTTTTATTCTGGTATTTATTGATTATTGAGTTATTGATCTTTTAGTTTGTCCTATATAAGAGAGCCCACATTCACAGTCAAGCTTGTTCACTCCTGGATCTTGTAGAGGGATATTATACTTGACTGGTGGTAAAAATTGACTAATCTTCTTAAGTGGCTTGAAAAATGAAGCATGCTATAAACTCGTATAAGATTTGGAGCTCGGTGAGGACTTGTTTGAATCCTTTGTGACATCTAGAAAAGGCTTTAGGAACAGTTAACTGTGAAGGATGGTCTCTAATGCCACAGTGAATTTTATTTTGCATGGGTTTCCTTTCTTTACGCGGTATGGCTCAAGGTGTTGTTAAGATTTCGGATGACTGATACATTTAGAAAGGCTAAGTGTTACATGTCTCTAATTCCACAGTGAAATTAATTTTGGAGGGCAAGGAATTATTTCAGTATTTTTTCATAAATTACAGAATAATATAAGTATCTCGTATTATAAAATTTATAAAGTAAAAAATGTGCAATTATTAACATTAATATTGGAAAACGATATTAGCGATTTCGAGAAAACTGGAAAAATATCTTTGAATTCCCGGAACCTCAGAAGATGTAGAATTATACTTACTCGTTAATATTTAATTTCATATAGATATATTATTAACAGATTATATTATTTAATAGGATTGATGCTGTTCAGTATTTTAAAATTATAAAATACTAAGATCATTGCCACAAATAAAAAATGTATTCTGGATAAACTCTTAATCGCTGTTCGACATCTGAACCATAGAGAAATAGGATCATAATGCGAAAACGAAAACCTTTATTTTATGAACCACCGTTGTAAGAATGTACTTTCTATCATTTTTATTTGTAGAATATACTGATCTTATCAAATCAGTATTGCACAAGGCATATCTAGGTACAGTGAGTTACCCTTCACAGGACGTCACAAGTATTTCCCATTACTGCGACAAGGCGAGAGATGTCACAGACAGATCCAATGACATACATAGTACGTACTAAATTGAAAATAGTTCAAATCATTCCAGGAGCTTATCATAATCTGGTTCGCTATATCCAGATGTAAACTATTAGATTCTGGGATGTAAAGATCGAGTATAATAATTTCAAGAACGATCGAGCAGTTGTAAGATGTTAAAATGATATTAATTTTTATAGGGCTATTCTCTGCACTTAAGTTGAAGTATAAGAATTTGAACCTGCACCCTCGAGGCTACGTGCCCAATGCTCTAGTCACTGTGTTAAACGGCATATATTCCCACCGATGAAACTTTTAACGTTTTCATTTTTTTTTTAATTCAAGTAATGCTGGGCGCCATTTAGTGTCTTTCTTTTACAGCGTACGACCACTTTTTACATGACATTTTGAACGAAGTTTTTTAAATTATAAGTTACTTAAAAAAATAAGAAAAACTTGTG